GCCGCAGGAGTGCATGCGGAGGCCCCTGAGGGAAGGCGCTCTGTGGGCTGCTCTGTGCACCGGCCCTGTCTCAGGAGCCCTGGCTGCGCAGCGGGAGCGCTGGGGTGCGGCCTCGGGTGGTGTGGCCTGGCCTCCGTGTCACTGTCCGCTGTCTCAGCACCCCTGGTGTTTGAGTTGAGGCCCAGAAGCAGGCAGGAGGGTGTTCAGTCAGAAACAAAACAGTGGTGGGTATGTTTCCACAGCAGAGAATGGAGACTGGAAGGAGGAGCGGGAATGCTCCTGACCCTGTGGGTCAGCGGAGAGTGAGAGCGAGGACCCCGGGGTAGGGTGTGGGGGTGCCCTTCTCAGCAGAGCGGACAGTCTCTCCTCCATGTGGCCCTGTGTGCTGCTGGCACAGCAGCTCGTCCTCTAGGCCACTCTGCCTGTTGTGCTGTTGGAATCCAAGCACCTTTCATGTGAAATAACGGCTCCCACACTCTCAGCTGGCTTGCGGCTCTGCTACAGTTTGCAGTGTCTTCCTCCTGCCTCCCCGGCCCCGGCCCTGGCCCCTCACTGGCCTGCAGGGACAGAGCTCAGGGCTGCCCGCCTCGTGCGTGGGAAGAAGCGTCTCTTCTTGACCTTCCCTGTGTATCACTGTCCCCAGGGCCTCGTCCAGCACAGGGCCTGCACCGGCTCGCCTGTCCTGGAGGCTTCCCCACTTCCCCGAGGGCGGCTCACTGCTCACCCCTCAGGCCTCTTGTCAACCTCTATTGCCTCCAGGGAAGAACAGCTCATGACAGATGTGTTGGTGCTCATAATACGAGTGTTTTAAAAAGAGATCATTCATTTTGTGAGATCATCTTGTTTATCAACATAAAAGACACAGGCCCCTTTGCTCAGGGCCTGCTGAGGGCGATGTTGGCCGTCAGTAGGTGCAGAGTGGCTGGTCATTACATTCCCCTGTAGCTTATGGGGTAGAGCTGCACGTGTCTCCACAAGGGTAGAGCCACCGCGGCCCTTGCTGGTCACTGTCCATACTCTTCTCTGTGCTATTCTGATTTATGGAGCTGTTTCTTACTGACATGAAGGCCTTTTAAACATAAAGAAAATGAGTCCTTTGTGTGTGTGGTGTGTTATACATATTACCCTGGGATTTCTTTTTTGTCTTTTGACTTAGCTTATGGTGTTTTTTACAGAGATTTTATTTATTTAATTTTTTTATTGAGACACTAGAAGCCCAGTGCATGAATTCATGCACCAGTGGGATCCCTCGGCCTGGCCTGCTGGATCGGGCCAAAACCGGCTCTCCAACATCCCCCGAGGGGTCCCGGATTGCGAGAGGGTGCAGCCCAGCCCGAGGGACCCCACTGGTGCATGATCGGGGCCGGGGAGGGACATGGGAGGTTGACCAGCCAGGAAGGGACTACGGGAGGGCTCCAGGGCGTGTCCGGCCCGTCTCGCTCAGTCCCAATCGGCTGGACCCCAGCAGCAAGCTAACCCACCCGTCGGAGCGTCTACCCCCTGGTGGTCTGTACACATCATAGCGACTAGTTGACCGGTCAACTATCTGCCCCCTGGTGGTCTGTACACATCATAGCGACTGGTTGACCGGTCAACTATCTGCCCCCTGGTGGTCAGTGCACATCATAGCGAGCACTTGAGTGGCCTTAGCATATCATTAGCATATTACACTTCGATTGCTTGAACGGACGACCAGACACTTAGCATGTTAGGCTTTTATTATATAGGATCAGTGATGTACAGTGTTAGTTTCAGGTGTACTATAATGATTTGGTGTGTATACATTGTGAAGTGATCACCACAATAAGTCTAGTTAAAGTCTATCACCTCACATGGTTACAGAAACCTTTCTTGTGATGAGAACTTTTTTTTAAATTTATTGATTTGAGAGAGAGAAATATGACTTTGTTGTTCCACTTTTTTATGCGTTCATTGGTTGCTTTGTGTGTGTTTTTTGTTAATCCTCACCTGAGGATATTTTTTCCATTGATTATTAGCGAGAGTGTAAGGTCTGGGGAGAGACAGAGAGAGGAACATCATTGTAAGAGAGACACATCGATTTGTTGTCTCAACCTGGGCCAGGGATTGAGATTGCAACCGAGGTACATGCCCTTGACCAGAATCGAACCCACCACCCTTCAATCCATGGGTCGACATTCTATCCACTGAGCAAAACTGGCCAGGGCCATTGGTCGCTTCTTGTATGTGCCCTGATCGGGGATTGAACCTGTAACCTTGGAGTATCGGGACGATGCTCCAGCCAACTGGGATACCCGGCCAGGGCCATGAAGAGAACTCTTCCGATCTATTCTCTTAGCAACTTTCAAACACACAACGCAGTGTTGCTAACTCCAGTCCCCATGCTGCTCATTAAGTTCGCAGCACGCGTTCCTTTTATACCTGGAAGTTTCCACCTTGCCCTCCCCCATGCCACCACCTGCACCACCTCTGCTGCCCACCGGCCTGGTACCGTCGAATCACTGTTCTCTTATGGCTCCGGGCTTGTGTCGTGAGGCTCCTCGTCAGCTACTTCAAGATGTGACTGGTTTTTCCTCGTGCTTCTTAATTTCATGGTGACACGTCTTTGGTCAGTGGCATTGGCTTCCGTGTGTTGGAGGGATCGGTGGCCTGTTTTTCAGAGGCTCTCCGGCTGGGCCTGCACCGCTGACTGAGCGACCCGCTGAGCTCTGTCCAGTGATGGGTGTTTCTGCACCTGCGTCCCCAGCCGAGGACCAGCGGCGACTTGGCTACTGTCCGGGAGGGCAGGCCCTGCTCATCCCTTGTTCTGTTTTGTTCTCCAGGGTTTCAGGCTTGGTTTTCCACATGAACCTTCACACTCAGTGTGTCTAGTTCTCATCAGCATCTGTTGGGAAGTGCGTTGGGGTGTATGTTAATTAGGGAGCATTAATGTCATGGTGTTGAGCCCTCGATGCTCCAGTTACTGGACAGACATCAAACTCAGAGCTGGGCCCCATCTAGGACCCCAGCCCTACTGAGAGAGAGAGAGAGAGAGAGAGAGAGAAAACACGCGTGTGTGAGAGTGCACATGAGAGTATTTCCTACAGCCTGTCAACGCACAAAGCATCCAAACCTGTAGAGAATTGTTATAAGAGTTTATTTGAGCTAAACTGACAGCATGCGCCAGGAGCAGATCCCAGATGCTCCGAGAATGAGTTGGCAGCTTGCTTGTGCGTTTGGAATCAGGAGGGGATGTGAGGAGATTACAGGAGGTGGGAGAGCGAGGGGATCGGATTACAGACGGGATCCTGCGCTGTTAGCTCTTCCCTCTTCCCAGTGGTTATGGCTTCAAGGAGGCATGTCACAGGTGTGTTACCTAGAAGCACAGAATTGGGCAGGGCTGGCTCCAGGCAGAGAAACCTTTTACTACAGAAGATAGAGACCTGGACGGGACCACCCACGCTGCCCTGCCCCTTGAGGGACTTAGGATCAGATCACCTGTGAGGTTACTTTTTGTAGGACCCCTTTTGGTCCACAGTTGGACACGTGGAATGGAGAGCTGCCCAGCTGGGGAAGGGTTGTGGCCAGGCATTTCCAGATGTTCTGTAGGCAGGAGGCCTGGCTGGGCCCCGGTCCTGCTGCGCACACCGGCCTGCTGGGCTGAGGGGCCTCAAGGGAAGAGTCAGTGACCTCTGGTCTCGCGCAGCTTCTGAGTGTGACTTGGGTTTTCTGTGGCAGATACAGGACCGGCTTACTCTCGCCCTGTCTCCTTCCCTGTGCAAATGCCTTCGGAGCCTTCAGGAGAAAGGGGCTCTAGTGAGCACTTGGATCCCAAGTGGCCAAATTCCTGGCCTTGCTTTCTGGCCCCGCAGGCTCACGCTCCAGGGTGCGGCGTCTGCGCCTGGCCGCCTCCGCAGCCCTCGGGCTCGGGGTTGCCTCTTGAGTTGTGGGCCTCACAGTCAGCATGTCTGTGGAGGGGGCTCATCTGAAGGCGAGGGTCCCTGCCGACCCATCAGGGGCTGTCGAGGCTTCACTCGCCCCACCCCTCACCAGCCTTCTCCGCGCTCCGGCCCTCGTCACTCATAAGACGCCTTCTAAGTGGTTGGCCTGGAGCTGGAGCCAATGAACTAGTGCACTTGACACCTCACCACGACCAGCGGGACGACGGGCTGCGCACTAGGACCAGGGCGGGCGGACGGAGAGCCACGCGGGAACACGCTGAATGAGCGCTGCTTCGTGGGTTTCCCGTCTCGGCTGTAGGACCTCGAAGGGCATGTCCCTCCGCCTGCCCACTGGCCTCCACCCCTTCTGCTCAGGTGTCACTGCCAGGCCTGCCCACGCGGGACTGGCACCCAGGCTGCTCACAGGAGGTGGCGAGGGTGCCGTGGGGCATCATTCGAGAGCTCACATGAAGGCAACGGGGCCACGGCTCTTCGTTCCCATTTGAATTCTCACTGCGCTGTACTACCCATCTGTCTGTTCTTCTGCCTTTAAAATACTTTCTAAGTTTATCCATCACAGTTGACACACAGTGTCATGTTAGTGTCATGTGTGCGCATGTGCTTAGGCAGTCGCTAGTGCTGTTTTGCAGGCAGCTCGGCAGCCAGCCTCCTGGGGCACACGTGGCGCTTGCTGCATCGGGTGGCCTGTACCCGAGCTGTCCCACCAACACGTGTGCTGAAACACCTCATCTGGACATGGTGCCTGGATGCTGCGCTCAGGCCCAGCCCAGGGCAGGAGTGCACACGTGTGAGTAGGCGGCGCCACAGGGCCCCGTCCTGCCCTCCATGCGCTCCTCACAGGCGCACTCCCTCGGGAGCCCCCGACGGACGGCCTTGTGGTTGTGGGCGCCTTCACTGCTGAGTGTGCGCCCTGCAGCCGCCGGTCCGTGCTCGGTCCGCTCGCCTAGAGCAGCACAGGGCCGTCCTGGGCGCCCGGTGCAGTGCCTGGTGCGGTGCCAGAGGAGACACTGGGGGGAGCCCAGGTTGCTGCCGCGGGCAGGATGGGGCCGCACCTGCAGTGGGTCTGTGCTGGTCCCGCAGAGCTGAACGGCGCTGACCTGAAGGACTGCGTGAGCAACCACAGCCTGAGCAGCAATGCCAGCCTCCCCAGCGTGCAGAGCTGCAGGCGCCTGCGCGAGAGGAGGGTCGCCAGCTGGGCCGTGTCCTTTGAGCGTCTCCTGCAGGACCCCCTGGGTGTGCGGTACTTCTCTGTGAGTAGGACGGGCGCGGGCTCAGCACCGGAGTCTTGTAAGGGCCCGGAAGGCAGCGCCGTGGGCGGGTCCTGCTGCCCAAGGGGTCTGGGCGCCGTGCTAGCGGCTGCCTTGCGGGGGCTAAGTTATGGGTAGGTGCTCCCAAGCCCACCTCTGAGAGGGAAGTGGGAAAGGTCGGAGTGAAGAGCAGTCCGCGGGGAGGCGGGCCCCGGGGATACTGACCCCACTTCTCCGAGCGCAGGTGGAAGTTCACTGACCATGTTTTTCTAGGATTTTCTAAGGAAGGAATTCAGTGAAGAAAACATTTTATTCTGGCAGGCCTGTGAATACTTTAATCATGTGCCCGCACACGACAAAAAAGAGGTACACATGCTCCTTCGTGCCCAGGGAGGGGTGGCCACGGGCAGGATTTCATGGGGGCACCCCGGGGCGGTGGAGAAGGTGTGAAAGCACCCTCACACGCTTCACACCTCTCAGAGTGGGCTTCTCGGGGCCGCTGTGGCATTTCCTTGTGCTGAGCACAGCCTGCGAAATGCCTTCCCGCAGCCGCGCCCCCGCGCAGTGTGGGGAGGGCGGCACGAGGCTTCCAGGCAGGAGGGTGGCACATGGACTTCCAGGCAGCCTGGGCCCCTCTCATCTAGTGAGGCCACGTGTCAGGCGTGACCCCAAGGCTGCACCAACCCAGCCCCATTTCACAGAGACCAGCACACACGGACCGGCACCTGGCGCCCCCAGTGGCGGTGCCGCCCAAGCCTGTGAGCCACGTACCAGTCATTGCCCATCGGGAAAGTTTAGAGAGGAGCCGAGTTGGTGATGGTCTCATGCTGGCCTGTACTTTGTTTATTCAACCAAGGAGTGCTTACTGCCCCGGGGACTGTCTCCATCCGGGACCTGGGGGAGCTGTGGTCTGCAGGTGGCTCGCACGCGTGTCCCAGCAGCTCTCCTACAGGAGCTGGGGGAGCTGTGGTCTGCACATGGCTCACACGCATGTCCCGGCAGCTCTCCTACAGGGCCCGGGAGATTTTCAGCACGTTCCTGTGCAGCAAGGCCACCACACCTGTCAACATTGACAGCCAGGCCCAGCTGGCAGACGACATTCTCAGCGCCCCACACCCCGACATGTTCAAGGAGCAGCAGCTCCAGGTGAGCCCGTGCCTCCGTTGCCGCGGGGACTCTGGCCAGGCTCGGGGAAGAGGGCTTGGGTCCCAGACAGCGAGCTCCCAAGTGCCACCAGGCGGGGAGGGGAGGAGCTGGTCAGCGAGCTGGGGAGGAAGGAACTGCCCTTCCCCGCTGGGCTCTGGTGTCGGGTGTGGCCAACCAGACCCCGGGTCTCAGGGGCGCCCACAGTGACCATCCAATCCCACTGCTGCGTGCGCGCCCATGGGAAATCACAGGCAGGGTGCTGCTCGCGCAGGACAGGGCAGAAGTAGGGTTACAGTGTGAGTAGGAGAGACGGTTTGTTCTCGCTCCGTTAGGTGTTTGTGTTGTGTAAACATACTCCTGCCCACCCTGTATGTAAGCTTGGTTTTTTCAGTTAGCGCATCCCTGTGGCAGCAAGTGTGCCTGCACCTCACGTTCTGTGGCCTCCGTTGTAGAGCACGTGTCCCACAGGCTTTCCAGAGTCCTGCTGTGGAGCCACAGGATCATTGGATAAAGAAGGGAGGCGTGGCCCACGCAGTCCTTGCTCCCTCCAGATGCCCACGGGTTTGGGTCATTCTTTTTTTTTTCTAAATATGTTTTTATTTCAAAGAGGAAGAGAGAGAGAAACATCAGTGATGAGAGAGCATCGTGGATCGGCTGCCTCCTGCACACCCCTTACTGGGGATCGAGCCTGGAACCCGGGCCTGTGCCCTGACCAGGAATTGAACCATGACCTCCTGGTCGATGCACAACCACCGAGCCTCACTGGCCAGGCTGGTTTGGGGCCGTTCTTGCCAAGTACAGCTCCCCAGGGTCACCCCTGGCTGTGCTGTCTCCTCCTGGTGCTGGCTTCATGGAAGGTGCTGGGATTTGCTGGTTTAAGGTGACAAATGAAAGACTGTGTGTGACGGGAGAGAATAGTCAGATGTAGAGGAACTTTGGAAAGTGACTCTGGGGTATGGGTGGAGAAAATGGACTCATGGCGTCCTTTCAGAAGAGGCCAGAGGAGCCTGGGGTCCCCGCCCCGAGCCTTCAGGGCTGGCTGCCCTGGTTACTCTTCACCAACGTTGTGGCATGGACTCCGCAGATTTTCAACCTGATGAAGTTTGACAGCTACACGCGCTTCCTGAAGTCCCCGCTGTACCAGGAGTGCATCCTGGCCGAGGTGGAGGGCCGCTCCCTCCCCGACTCCCAGCAGGTGCCCAGCAGCCCGGCCTCCAAGCACAGCGTCAGCTCGGACCACTCCACTGTGTCCACGCCAAAAAAGGTGCTGCTGTCATGCTCATGCCCGCGGCCGTGTCCAGGGTGGGAGCTGCTCTGCGGGAGGGAAGCTGTGCCATGTGGGTTCCTTCACGCGTGGAGAATGCAGGGCACCTCCTAGGACACGGCATGCTGAGGCGGGGCTGGGGCGGGTCCGCTGGGGTCCAGCTGCCGTCTCTGGGTGGGCCTGCTGCCCATAGAACAGTTCTCGCTCCCTCGCTGCTGCTCCGCAGCTGCCTAGCGCACTGCATGCGTGGAAGTCACGCACATGGTTTTCTCAACGTTTTCCTCTTGACGACAGCTGACTGGGAAATCGCGGTCAGGACGGTCCCTGAATGAAGACCTGGACGAGGACAGCGAGCGGAAGCGGAAGGGAGTGTTTTTCTCCTGGTCCAGGACCAGGAGCACCGGGCGGTCCCAGAAGAAGAAGGGCCACGGGGAGCACACAAACGGTTTGTGGTGTGCGGTCGCGGGCCAGGCGGCGGGGCTTTAGTCCTCCGCACCCCGCCTGCTGTCTGTCCTCTCCTGTGCTCCTCTGGCTCCAGCAGGAATAGGTGCTGGAAACATTTGGAAAATACACCCAAGTAGGAAAGAAAGCACCGAGGCCCGCGCTCCCAGGCGGCTCTGTCCTGGCGGGGCTCTGGTCCGGTGCGCGGGGCTGCACCGCCCTCCTGGGGTTCAGTGAAGGCCATCGTGTGCCCGCAAGCTTTGTCCAAATTGTCGTTTTTTATTGTAAATCTCAAGGGCTGTGCCGGGGAGACGGGGTATGCGCGCCTCGTGCAGTCTGTCCCCCGACAGGACCCAGAGGCTGGGGTCCCCACATCTGGCGGCTCGTTAGCTTTAGATCCTGGCTCCGGGCACTTCCCAGGAATCCAGACTTGGTGACGTGGGAATCCGTAGCTTTTGGAAGGAGGGCCAATAGTTCAGAAGGTCAGGGGACCCGGTACCCCTGTGTCTGTGCCCCACTGTGGCCCCCGGGCCGGCACAGCAGGGCCTGGGGAGCAGACCCCAGGTTGGGAAAGGCCCTTCTAGGTGGGTTTTCATGGAAAACCAGGAGGAACAAAAGGGCTTGTTCCTCAGTGGAGGGGAACTCATCTAGGACTTTGCGGGAAGACGAGCCATAGGTAAAGGTATGGTGACCGCTGGGCGTTCACGCTGCCCACAGAGGACAGTTTCTGTATAGGCCCAGAAACCAGCAGTTGGATAAAAATTCCAGGTTAACCAATGCAAGGGAGGTCCTGCCCAGGAGCACTGCCCTGCACTCCCACCTGCCCGGAGCCAGCTGCGCCGGTGGGGGGACAGAGTGGGGGACAGGGGGGGAACAGGGCGGGACAGGGGGGAACAGGGCGGGACGGGGGGGAGCAGGATGGGGACGGGGGATGGGGGGGACAGGGCGGGACAGAGTGGAGCCTATCTCTGCAGCTGTGGGGGCTGCTGAGCTGCAGCAGCTCCAGGGAGGGGACAGAGGAGGGCGGGGGGCAGAATCTCAAAAGGCCTGTTCGTCCTGCCTTCCTTCCTTCGCCTGCATCTGCTCAGCCTGAGGGAAGGGGGTGGGAGCTGTGACCAGGAGGTGGGTTTCTGTGTGGAGTGAGACAGGCAAGGCTGTGTGATTCTGAGTCGCTGTGTTTCCCATCAAGATGCCCCGCACGCCAATGGAGGCCTGGGCCGCCGGGAGTCACAGGGCTCCGTGTCCTCCGCCGGGAGCCTGGACCTGGTAAGTCCCCCCCGTCCGCGCCCACGGGCCGCTCTGCCTCCCGGAGCCCACACGCCCACGCACCTCAGGAGGCTCCCGGGCCGCCGAGGAGCCCACACGCCCACACACTAAGGAAGGCTCCCCACAGGGTGCTCCTCGGGACTGAGGCCAGCTTGGGGTCATTCTGGAAACCTGGTCTCATTCAGTTACGCTTCTGGAATCCCACTGAGAACAGAAAGCTGTGAAGGCAGGTGCTTTGTCCTTGCACGTCCCACTGCCTCAGACATGGCGTGATTGGGGGCCCCACGGGGGCTCCTCTCTGTCCTCCCACCTGCTCTCTGGTTGCCTGGGGGACCCGCTGCCTGGGTGGCAGCTGTGCGTGCCAGTCTGGGAGCCTGGTCGCTGCGGCGTCTGTCGCTGGGACATGTCGGGCAGCGCGCGCAGAACCTCGTCTCCGCTGCCAGGGCTGACCGGTGGCACTAGCCCGCTCTGCGAGCCACCCAGGGCGCAGGTGGGAGGGGTTGCTGGGTCTTTGGCGATCAGTCTACCACCTGCACAGCAGCTCTCTGAATCATGTGGGAGGGGACTTGCCGTGTCCCGAGGAACCATGACAGGAAGTGCCCAGCAGGCCAGCTCCACAGGAGGCCTGTGCAGGGGCGTTTCTGGTGAGGAAGCGAGTTGTGACTCAGGCCCAGGGGAGGGGTCAGGAGAGACCCCTGCTGCCCTGGGCTGGCCTCACCCACATCCCGCTGCCCAGGAGCCCTGCCTCTGAGCACCGCGGGCTGGCGCAGGGGTAGAGTGCTGCTGAGCAGCTTCCGGAGCTCTGGGCCTGGGCGTGAGTCCTGCAGACAGACTGCCCCGCCCCGCCCCGCCCCGCCCCGCCCGCAGGCGTGTCCCGCTGCTCCTGGGCGGGGCCGGCAGGTGAACGCCATCCTGCTCCAGGCGGAGGCAGCTAGCATTCCCTGGGCAGACAGCCGGCTCTGTCCCTCATGCTGACAGGGCAGCCCTCTGTCAGCACCAAACATGGGTGGAGGCCAAGTCCCCCTAAGCACCCCCAGCCCCTGCCTGCCCCTCCGTGGCTTCCCAGCACCCGCCCTCGGGCTGACCTGCTCTCCCCTAGATCAGGCTGTTCTTCTCGGAGGGGCTTTGGAGCCTGGGCCGGGAGGTCGGGCAGAAAGATGACGGAAAACAGCAGAGGGGCCCCCGGCTGGGCTGGTCCTTGGGCACCTGTGTGGGTTCCAGCCCGCCGTGTGGTCCCTGCCCCAGAGACTGAGGTGGGCGAGGGCAGCTTAGTGGCACAGCGTGGCCTGTTCTGGGGGAGCTGGCTACGTGTGGGCCCAGGAGCACTTGGGTCCGAGGCTGGGCAAGGCTGTGAATAATGTCTGAGCTGGAGGAAGCCCACGGCTGTCCCTGTGTTAGCGTGGCCCCCACCCTGAGTGCGCAGTGCAGGTGTCCCACGGATCTGCATCTCTGGAGCTGGATGTGGGCCTCCCGAGGCGCATGCAAGCTCCCATAGCTCTTCTTGGGGTGCCCCGCAAGCTCCCTGTGACCCCAGCACCGTCTCTTCCCCAGTCAGAGGCCTGCAGGACGCTGGCGCCCGAGAGGGACAAAGCCGCCAAGCACTGCTGCATCCAGCTGCCCGACGGGACGCCCTGCACGGTTCTCGTCAGGGCGGGGCTCCCCATCAAGGAGGTCCTGGCTGGGCTCTGCGAGCGACACGGCATCAACGGGGCCGCCGTTGACCTCTTCCTGGTGGGCGGGGACAAGGTATTGGGCCCTTGGTGTTAGGCCCTGGCGGTTGCCCTGCTCTGCACTCCGTGTCTAAGCCGTTTGCTGGAGGCCGTGGAGGGTGGGTCCTGCGGCTGGGCCCCTGCCTGCTGGTGTGGGTCTGTCTGCGGCTGCTCCTCCGAGGCACCTGGGCGTCCCTGCACCTGGGAGCATTGCTGGGCGCCCGCTCCCTCTGATCCCACCTCTTGTTCCTCCTGGTTCCCAAGCCCCTGGTGCTGCATCAGGACAGTAGCATCTTGGCGTCTAGGGACCTGCGCCTAGAAAAGCGGACTTTGTTTCGGTGAGAAAAATGCAGTTGCCGTTCCCATGAGCTCCCAGAAGGCTGGGCCCATCCTGAACCGGTTGGGGCAGCGGCACGCAGACCCTGGAGCCCAAGGGGCCAGAGGGTCGCTCTCCCTGTCCCATGACCACAGAGGGCCACACCCAGGGGTGGGCAGGCTGGATGGAGTTGGCCATCCTGTGGGGGAGGGGTTCTCTCTTTGCTGGTGTGACAGCCCCTCTCACCCCCCAGAAAACCTTCCAGAAGCCTCCCACAGCCAGAACCTGGGGCTGGATCCGGCGGCGCGGGCGTAGGGAAGTGAAGACTGGGTGGGTCTGCGCGGATGTGCTCACGCCTTTCCCCCCACAGGCTGGACCTGGTTCCCATTAACCGCTCAGTGGGACTCAAGGCCAAGCCCACCAAGCCCGTCACGGAGGTGCTACGGCCTGTGGTGGCCAAGTACGGCCTGCACCTGAGCGAGCTGGTGGCCAGGCTGGTGAGTGACCAGGGGCTGCGGCGTGTTCCCCGAGCTGGCAAACGGGGCGCCTGTCGCAGGGCCTGTGCCGGAGGCCCCACCGGTAGCGCTGTGGTGCGCAAGCAGCTGCCACGCCCTCAGCTCCCCCCACGCTGGCCGGGTGGGCGGTGTCGCCTCCGTCCCCCACTGTCTCATCCTGTGGAGGGGACGCTGGTTTCTTTAGACTCGGTCATTCCCAGGGGGCTGGGGCCGGGGCTGGGCTGGGCTTTGAGAGGTGGTTTTGGTCCAGGGAAACCAAACGGAGGAACAAACAAGACCCCCTGAGCTCTGCTGAGCAGGTGCGGGTCCCAGCAGACAGCGGGCGGTTCCTCGCCCTGCGCCGCTCAGGCCAGCTGCCTCGGGCGCCTCTTCCCATTAAATGTCCTCGTTGCCGCCCTAGCCGCTTTGCCTCAGTGAGTGGAGCGTCAGCCACGGACTGAAGGGTCCCGGGTTCAATTCCGGTCAAGGGCATGTTGCAGGCTCCATCCCCGGCCCTGGTCAGGGTCCGTGCAGGAGGCAACCAATCGATGTATCTCTCTTGCATTGATGTTTCTCTTTGTCTCCCCTCACTTCCACTCTCTCTAGAAATTAAAGGAAAAATATCCTTGAGTGAGGATTAACAAAACAAAAAAATTTCCCAAGCCTTATCTCCATTGGCATTTCCAGGCAGGGCTGCTGAGCTAGTGGAGGCGAGGACGGGGGGAGGGAGAGCTGAGGAAGAAAACCCTGGGGCAGAAGGAAGGCGGGCTGTAACCCTGTAGCCCAGGCCGTGCTGCGGGGCTGTCTCCGCTGCAGGCTGTTGGCCAGGCCCCCATCTCTCTGGAATCACTGCCTGTCTAGCAAGCTGCGCCCATTTGCTTCAGAATACGGTGATTCATGATTTAGTTTGCCTGCGTTCTCATTTTTTTAGAAAATAAACTACTGGAGCTGTGATTTAAAGTATTTCAGCGTTTTAATTTTCTCTGACACGGGCCCTAAGACTGTGCAGGCTCTTGGACGTGAGGAGAGGACTGTGTGGAGCGGGTTGTGGAGGCCTGGGAAGCCCGAGGCCCCTCCCCTCAGCACCCGGAGGCCCAACATGCTGGCCGAGAAGGCGGGCCAGGCTCCCTGCGCCTCCCGCTCTCTCCCTTGAGACCCCAAGCTACTGCGTGACCCTGTGGCCTCAGTGTCCCTGTCTGTAAATGGGTTAGTCAGGGCTGTGGTGGGACTTCCGGGCTGGCGGCGGTCAGGGCTCCGGGGCTGGAGGCTGTGACATTGTTATGCCCAGATTTCAAGATCCCCAAGAGACCACACCAGGGAGCCAGCCATGTCCGATGCAAAAGCAGAGAGTCTTTATTCAAACTAGTTTGGGCCCCCCACCCCCACCCCCGTCAGCCACACTCGCCAATGCAGCGGCAAGTGGTGGAGAGAGCGCGAGAGAGCCCTGTGGGAAGAGGGGTTTGATGGGGGGGTGGAGTAAGGGGAGGAGAGAGGACTGTGGGCCCTGCCGATTGGCCAGGCGCAAGTCGGTGTCTCGTTACACAGGATGTGGTCATATCTATGGCGCTCACGTCCCTTGATTGTCATTGGTTAGTTTAAAGAAGTCCTGGGTGTGGCTCGCAGAGGCTTGGGCTTCCGGGAAGAAGCCTTGCTGAGCACATAGCTGCCCAAAAATGGAGGATTCGGGGCAAGATGGAGGGCGTAGCCCTCGCCCTTTCAGACACGTGGCTTTTCTGTGGACTCACCAGCTGACCCTTCCCTGAATGTGTGTGTCCACGGAACCGACATCATGAGAGAGGCAGGGCCAGCATGGTGGCCGCCTCCGTGGGCGAGCTCCGGCCGGCCTCCTGCAGGAGTGGCCTCTGGGCACTTTGGGCCTCATGGCCAGCAGGGAATTTAAGAAGCCGCTCCAAGCTCAGGCTTCTTTCTAAACAGTGGCTGTGGGTCCTGAATAGCAGGTGTTCCCCCATGCCCCGCCCTGGCCCCGCTCCGTGTCCCTGTCCACAAAGGCAGCTCTGTCCTGTTCACGTTCTACCTGTGCCCACAGGAGTGGGGCGAGACCTGTCCAGGTTGTGAGCAGGGTGAGACCTGGATGCCAACTCGATGCCTTTGAAACAGGACGTTTGTGGACTGAGAGGGTTGCAGCCTCGCCAAGTGTCCTCGCCCCGGGCTTGGGTCTGGCGCAGGGAGGCCACCAGCTGTCACTCGCATTCCAGGCACCCTGGGCTTCGGGCTGGGCACCTCTGGACTGCCCTCGGGCAGCCCGGCCAAGGTGGCGGCACCCAGGGTCACCTGGCGTGCCACGACATCAAGGCTGGACCAGTCTTGCTTTCAGTAGCTGGATGACAGACAGGTGTTCTGGAAAGTTCTGGTTCGGTGAGTCATGTGGTGCACCACCTTGGTCTCTAGAGTGGCGAGAGGGAGCCCCTGGACCTCGGCGCCCCCATATCGAGCCTGGATGGACAGCGGGTCATCTTGGAGGAGAAGGACCCCTCCAGAGGGAAAGGTGAGCGAGCCCAAGAGTCCCCCTCTCACTGCCTCCCACCAGCCCATCCCTGAGCCCACCAGAGGCCCTGCCTCTCCGCTCCCCCTCCACCCTCCACAGAGCCGGGCCTCTGAGGCCGGGGCTAGCCCAGTCCTGCCTGGGCAGAGGCAGCAGGACCAGGAGCATGAGGGCCTCACCCAGTGACAGGCCTTGCGCTCCCCCAGGACTGCCCGAGGTTCAGCACGCCTGGTGTGGGGCGTTAACGAGACACAGAGACACAGCTCTGGTCCTGTGAACGAGGGACACGCCCGGGCCCCATGGACTGGGGGCGTGGCCGTCCCGTGGTCCCCGGTGTGCGGGAACCTGCGGTTTATGGAGCTCCTCCTGGCCCCACAGCCCCGCCCCTGCCTCCCGCAGCAGCTCTCCTGCAGAGAGCTTAGGGCTGGCCCAGCAGCGGCTTGGACCAGAGACCTGAGGGCTGGCTCAGTTCTGAGATGCCTGCTGCCTCCCCCAGGGACCTGCGGTGGCCCTGGTGGTGGCTCCTCCCCTTGGGAAAGCAGAGTGGGTCCTGGCCGGCCCTGGTCCAGGAATGCCTGCTCCGTGCTCCTCCCGCCTGCTCAGGGCCGGCCCAGGCGGGCCTCAGGCCCTTGGGCGCAGGTGAGCTGCGGGCCGGGCCGCAGGCAGGGGCAGGCTGTCTGAGCAGCTGCGGGAAGCGGGGTGGCCCTTCCTGCTGCCCAGGGGGGGCCAGAGAAGTGGACTTGAGGCTGGGTCGGCCATTGGAGGCCAGACCACAGCCCTGATTAACAGCGGTTCTAATAGAAAATAGGTGACTCCCTACTTTTCTAGAGAATATTCACGCCAAATAGTCCATGAAACAAGCTCTTTAATCACCTCTCCTCCAAACATCCCAGCACATGGGGTCCAGCCGCCTGTGGCCCTCTACACACACACACACACACACACACACACACACACACAGAGCACGTCCTGCCCCGGGCGTTTGGCCTTGGTGTGCAGATTGGAGAAGGTGCAGGTCACTCCTCTGTCTTCTCCCGCTTTGCTCTCACAGATGCTGTAGCCGTGATGCTGTGTCAGTCGCACTGTGACTGCAAAGCGCGGCGCTCTGTTCTTCCCCACAGATAAACAGCGAGGAGCGCCGCTCAAACAGACCACGGCCGGCAACGCCAGCTCCAGAAATTTCTCGGCTACGGTAATCCCCCTCCCGCCCGCAGGGTGCCCCGCTCCCCGCATGCCAGCCGCATGCTCCCCAGAGAGCCGTGCGCTGCCCCGGGCCCGCCACGCTCTGGTCGGGCTGGCAGCCCCTCGGTGTCCCCTCGCCCCCTCTGGGGCTGTTCCCGGGGCCTACTCGCCAGCTCACTGCCCTGTGGTGGGTACAGAGCCCGACGTGCTCTGCGGTTTGAACCCTTGTCATGGCTCCCGTTCCAAAGCCCTGCCTGTCACTGTGAATTGTGCTGTCGTGTCTGAACTGTGAGTAGAACTTTGACTTTCCTTCTGATGCAGGGAGAGGAGAGAACACTAGGCAAGTCTAATTCTATTAAAATAAAAGGAGAAAATGGAAAAAATGCTAGGGATCCCCGGCTTTCAAAGAGAGAAGAATCTATTGCAAAGATTGGGAAAAAAAAATATCAGAAAATTAATTTGGACGAAGCAGAGGGTATGTGTACTTTTTAAACTTGCACGTTTTTTAGTGAATACAATGTCCGTTTCTAGTCCACCCGTTAGAGCTTTCTCTGAGGGATTGACAGCGGGTGACTGATCCCTGTCACCTGAGAGTGTGTTCCTCCGTGTCAGTCTGGGGCTGAACCCCAGTTTGCAGACTGAGAGCCGGGCCCCTAGGAGTCAGGGAGGACCCCTGGGGGGCAGGGGCAGCACCGTGGTCCTGGCAGGCTCCCCGGCTCCCTCCATCTCTGTCCCCGCTGGGATGAGGCTCAGTCGTATCAGGGTCCTCACAACAGGCAGCGCCAGCAGAGCGGCTGTGGCGGGGGGGCCCTGGGTGCCCGACCTCTGCCTTGACCTGCGGGAGGCCTACAGGAGGCACTGCGGAGATGGAGAGGGAGGGTAGTCTCCTCTTTGGAAACATCTAAGAGAAAAGCAGAAGCAGAACTCATAGTGGTCACTGGGACCGGATTTTAACCCAGAGTCCCTCCTGCTCAGCTGTCCAGCTCCCTGTGAAGTCCCCCCTTACAGCCATAACCCCACACCCCACAGCCCCCCTTACAGCCATAACCCCACACCCCACAGCGCCCCTTACAGCCATAACCCTACACCCCACAACCCCCTTACAGCCATAACCCCACACCCCACAGCCCCCCTTACAGCCATAACCTTACAGCCCACAGCCCCCCTTAAAGCCATAACCTTACACCCCACAGCCCCCCTCACAGCCATAACCCCACACCCCACAGCCCCCCTTACAGCCATAACCCCACACCCCACAGCCCCCCTTACAGCCATAACCCCACACCCCACAGCCGCCCTTACAGCCATAACCCCACACCCCACAGCCCCCCTTACAGCCATAACCCCACACCCCACAGCCCCCCTTACAGCCATAACCCTACACCCCACAGCCCCCCTTACAGCCATAACCCCACACCCCACAGCCCCCCTTACAGCCATAACCCCACACCCCACAGCCCCCCTTACAGCCATAACCCCACACCCCACAGCCGCCCTTACAGCCATAACCCCACACCCCCCCTTACAGCCATAACCTTACGCCCCACAACCCCCTTACAGCCATAACCCTACACCCCACAACCCCCCTTACAGCCGTAACCTTACACCCCACAGCCCCCCTTACAGTCATAACCCCACACCCACAGCCCCCCTTACAGCCATAACCCCACACCCCACAACCCCCTTACAGCCATAACCCTACACCCCACAGCCCCCCTTACAGCCATAACCCCACACCCACAGCCCCCCTTACAGCCATAACCCCACACCCCACACCCCCTTACAGCCATAACCCTATACCCCACACCCCCTTACAGCCATAACCCTATACCCTCACAGCCATAACCCTACACCCCCTTACAGCCATAACCTTATACCCCCCACAACCCCCCTTCCAGCCATAACCCCTTACACCCCTCACAACCCCCCATACAACCATACCCCTTACACCCCTTATAGCCATACCCCTTACACCCCTCATAACCCCCCTTACAGCCATACCCCTTACACCCCTCACAACCCCCCTTACAGCCATACCCTTTACACCCCTCACAAGCCCCCATACAGCCATACCCCTTACACCCCTCACAACCTCCCATACAGCCATACCCCTTACACCCCTCACAACCCCCCATACAGCCATACCCCTGCAGCCTTAACCCCTTCCTTACACCCCTCACCCTGCCCCCGACAGCCATCACCTGCAGCTATAGCCCCGCAGCGTGGCTGTGATCCTGTCACCTGAGAGTGTGTTCCTCCGTGTCAGCCCAGGGCTCTCAGGCAGAGGGCGGGAGCGCGCACCCACGCCGAGGTTGGCGCCTTCCTGAGAGGCATTAAGATGTCAGGTTTGAAAGCCCTTGTCCTTGAGAGCAGTTGGATGCTAGAGAAGCCCAGCCAGGCCCTTCTCCTTGACCGTGGCCTTGAGCTCCACTGGAAACGCCCTTAGTAAGACGGCTCTGGAGGGGCCCACCGGGGCCAGCAGGTGTGGAGGGCGCAGAGGGCCCGAGGGCTGAGGGGCTCCATGCAGACAGGACTCCAGAGCCCAGGCTTGGTGCCCCCTCCAAGGGCCCCGTCACCCCGCCCCTCGCGGGCCCCTCCTCTGGCCCAGGCGGGCCCACCCAGCCACTGGCTCTGTGGTGCTGCAGCCTCTGCGGTCACTCCTTTATCCGGGAAGAGGCCCAGGGCTGCGTGGCAAGGCCCCCAGTGCCACGTCCCCACCAGAGCACAGCCAGCACCCCCAAGCTGTCGGCACGGCCGTGGCGGGTCACGGGTGTGGGTGACTGGGTCTGGACTTCACACACCCCGATTTTCGGGAAGGCTTAGGGCTGCTTTGGATTGTTCTAGAAGCCTGGGCCTTCCTGCAGTTCTGTGGGCTGAGGTGCTAGGGGTGCAGGACCCCTGGCCGCAGCCTGCAGTCCGAAGGCAGTAGGACAGCGAGACGAGAACTTTCCAGACGTGCACTGCGGCTGTGGGCGGAGGGTGAGGCTCTCACACTCGGTCCACGGGGTTTCCTCCCAACAGCGTTTTTTGAGCTTATTTCCAAGGCTCAGAGCAACAGGGCTGACGACCAGCGCGGGCTGCTGAGGAAGGAAGACCTGGTACTGCCCGAGTTCCTGCGCTTACCCCCAAGCAGCCCCGAGCCTGGCCTCCCCGGCCAGACCCCCGCGACCAGCCCCGGCCAGGAGAAGGCGCCCTGGCCCCGAGAGCACCCCGCCAGCCCAGCCACCAGCCCCGGCTCTGCTGACAGCCCCCCCTTCTGCACCTCCTCGACCCCCACGACGCCCACGCCCCATGCGCAGGAAGCAGAGTCCGGGGGCGTCCAGACTGTGGAGGGCGAACACGTGGCCGACCTGATGCTCACCGGGGAGGGGGACATCAGCAGCCCCAACAGCACTTTGCTGCCGCCTCCCCCCACCCTGCAGGACCCGGCAGGACCTCCCACTCCAGGTACCGCCGGGCGTGGCTCCCCTGCTCACCTCTGACTCTGCCACTCCACTGTCCCCCGGGGATGTCCCCCGGGAAAGTCCACCTGGTTCCCAATAAAAAAAGACACATGTGGGAGGTCGACCCTCTGCCCCGTGATCGTCTAACGAGGCTTTTCCACAGCACTGTCCCCTCTGTTACCATAGTTACTGTGGGATGGTCTACCAGGAGGTGTCAGGCACAGCTGAGGTCGGAGTGTGGTCAGGACGGGTCCCGGAGGCCTCCCGGCATGTGCCGTGTTCTGTGAGCAGACAGCGGCCTCCTCGCCCCTCGCCCTCTGTCCGGGATTCCAGAAAATGTATGTGTGCCTAAAATGAGGAGAGCTAGCATGGTCCGTGTTCGTCTCGAGACTGAAAAAAAAGCATTTGTCTTGAGGAGTGAGTGACGCCCAGGTGACTTAGGACCACGCTCGGCACAGAGCCATCACAGGGCGTCGGCCTGGGCCAGGCAGGCTCCGGACCAGGGCTGGGGGTCTCCGCGGGGTGTCCTGACCTCGGGCAGTCACAGGCATTTCTCTCAACTCCCGGAAGCGTGAGTTTGGTTGTTCACTGAGCTCGGTGACGTACGTACGTACGGCTGGCGGAGGCACTGTCCCAGGAGCCGCAGCTGGAAGTGGAGGCGAGGCTCCTGCCTGCTGCGAGGGGCTTCCAGGAGCCCTCCCACCCGCCCGCACTGGGCACGGCCCCATGTGCGTCCCCGCTGGGTGGACAGGGCGCCTGCTCGGTGTCCATGCTAACAGCGGGCTGCCCTGCTCCTGCACACACGACTCTCGGACGCTGTCGGTCCTGATCCGCTGGCAGGCGATGGGACGCCCCAGTTCACCCGCCAGGGCAGCCTGGGTCCTGCCGGGACCTGCAGCCGCACCTGGGGGGGCGGTGCGTTGTCCCTGCCTCCTTGGTAGCTTGTGGAGGACTGTGCTGTGGGGACCCGGCGCCTTCCCACTGAGAGCGCCCCCCAGCTCAGGAGCCAGGTGCATGCTGTCGCCTTCCGCACGTCCTGCGCCCCCCTGCTCCCTGCGTGTCGCCCATGTCTGGGTCCGTGCTCTTCCAGGAGGAATAAACCACAGCTCGTGATTGGACTGGATCAAAACTTCTTTCACTTGAATATTTATTTCCGCTTCAGCAAGCTGTCGATGCATTCTACTCTAAGGAGAGTGTCACACATTTTTAGGAACTCCATGGGTTCCCTTAACAGAGTGGCTTTTAAATATATGTTTTTATTGATTTCAGAGAGAAGGAGAGAGAGAGAGTCATCAATGATGAGAGAGAATCATGGATCGGCTGCCTCCTGCACACCCCACACTGGGGATCGAGCCTGCAACCGGGCATGTGCCCTTGACTGGAATCAAACCCGGGACCCCTCAGCCCCCAGGCCAACGCTCTATCCACTGAGCCAAACCAGCCGGGGCGATCTAGTGGCTTTTACAAATAGGCCGTTCACTCAGCAGATGCTCTCAAGCACCCATAGGCAGCCCTGTGCCGGCGGCGGGGAGGGGGCAGCCCGGGCCTCTCCCTGAGCAGGCATCGCGTCTGCTATCGCCTGGGGAGGGGAGGCGGCCACGCCTGATTCTTCTGCCCCTCCCGTGGGCCAGAGCCGACCCTGTGGTTGGCTGTCAGTTCCCACCTGCCCCTGCAGCTCCGCGCTCCGAGCTTAGGCTTCCCACCTGGTGACAGGCGTCCTCTGTTTCCTGGGCTCAGCCCTCAGGTCTCAAAGCCTCCATCTCCATTCTCCTTAGACGTCGCCTTATCCCCAGGGTGCTCAGCATGCACTGGCTGATGAAGACCTTTAACCCCGGCCCACCTGTCACAGAGCCGTCACCACCTGCTGGGGTCTGAGTGGAGGGGGACTGTGTGTCATGAGCGGGAACCAGGCCTTTGGTTGGGTCTGTGAAGCTTGCTCACAGGGACTCAGCCTCCGAGGCGGTGGAGTGGGGTGGGGTGGGGTGTCCAGGGCTGGTGGCTGAGGGTGGACCACGGAGCCCCTGCCCCTCCCCCCCACCATATTTCCCAGTTTAGCTGCGCCCAGTCTCCTTGTGCTGTGAGAATGAGGGGCACCCCGGGAGGCTTCACAGAAGAGGTGGCAGGGTGGCCTTGAAGGACACAAAGGACCCGTCTAGCAGACAATTCAGAGCATGTGGGCAGGAGTCACAGCAAAGGAGGACAAGGAGGGTCCCTCTGGGGCAGGAAGGGCCCGGGGAGGGCAACTGAGATGGCTCTGGCGCCCCGATTGCGGTGGGCGCTCCAGCTGGGCCCCCGGGGCTGACTGGAGCCAGAACCGCAGAATTCGTCAGCTCATGTCGGGCTGTGGAGCCCTGGGGGGAGGGGCCAGTAGGGCCCTGAGAGGCAGAGGCGAGGTCCTGGCCCAGCCTCATATCTGCTGGAGGGAGTGGCACGGGCACCCTTTGGAAATGGCCCCTGGTGCCCTGTGGGGTTCCGTGTTGCCTGCCTGCCAGGGAGGCCGGGCAGGCAGCTGCTCCGGGCTGGCCCTGGCACCGAGCCTCGGCGCCCGTTGACTGCATGGGGCTGGGCTGCTGCCACTGAGTCACGGGCCTGGGGCTGCCACTTACTCAGAAAGCAAATCTGGGCCAGGCAGGCAGGAAGGGCCTGGACTTTGGCCACCCGCCCCCAGACACAGGTCCTCAGCCTGTACCAGCTGCCCCGTCCCTGACACGGCAGGCCCGCCCTGGGCCTGCACCGGCTGCCCCGTCCCCGACACGGCAGGCCCGCCCTGGGCCTGCACCGGCTGCCCCGTCCCCGACACGGCAGGCCCGCCCTGGGCCTGCACCGGCTGCCCCGTCCCCGAGACGGCAGGCCCGCCCTGGGCCTGCACCGGCTGCCCCGTCCCTGACACGGCAGGCCCACCCTGGGCCTGCTAAGCTGTCCCGGCTCCGGCTGCCCCTGCAGCCTCTGTTGCCCGGGCCCATCGGGCTGGACGGGAGGGCCTGGCTCCTGGCCTGAGTGGGACTGCAGGTCCTGTACTGCTCCAAACAGATGCCCCCTAGTGGGCAGAGAACCTGGAAAGCCCTGCCCTCCACCCTGAAGCTAAATGGAAGCGCCCTGCCCACACCTCCCACCCTGCGGCTGCCTGTGGAGCATGGGGGCCCAGTGACAGATGGGACGGTGGGTCCCAGTGGGAGGCCTAGTGGGATGTTTGCTGAATGACTGAAGGACTGGACCCTCGGGCCTCAGGGGAAACCCTTCCCCATGGTTTTGAATAGGACACGCCTGGCTCAGCAGCCGTGGCCGGGGAGGACACACGGCCAGGCACTCTGACACCGATGAGCCACGGGGAAGCCCTGGGGGCCACGTGGAGGTGCTCATGGAGGCCTGGGGTGCAATAAGGTGGGACTTTGGGGCCACGGAGCAGCTGGGGACACAGGCTCCTGATCCCACAGCCATCCCACTCTCACTCAGAAGCCTCAGATCCACGGAGGAAGCGGAGCCAGGCCAGGGAAACCGAGGCCCAGGGAGGGCTGGTCTGTGGGGCAGGACTCCATGTCTATTGTGGGTCACTGGCCAGGATGCCTGCTCCCCGTGGGCACCTGAGAGTCATCGGCCCTGGGCTCACTGACACCCTATAGATTCTACACCAGGGCCCTGGCATCCCTAACCTGGGCGGCACCGCCTGCCCCATCCCAGTGGTGAGCCAGAGGAGGGCAGTGGAGGGCGCCAGGGCTAGGAGCTTCTGCCAAGCCCACCCCATGCCGGTCCCTGGGGACTGCGCCTGGAAAGAAGACAGGTCTCTGTCCTCCAGGGCCTCACCCGGGCTCTGCGGCCCACCCAGAGGTTACTGGCACAGAACCAGGGCTGCCCACCCAGGGCCTAGGAGTTTCTGGCGGCCCGAGGACTCCTGGGGCTGAGGCGGGGCCACTGGGCACTGAGCAGCCTGCAGGAGGAGCAGATAGTCCACTCGGGGGACAGGCACAAGGCCCGGGTATGGCCATGGGGTAGGAGAGCGCAGCCAGAACCCAGGCAGGTGCCAGGAAGGACTGTTTGTGAGGGTGAGGACATGGGCCTGAGTTGGAGGCAGGTGGACAGCTGGCAGCCAGGCTGGGTGGGCACAGGGGCTCTGGAGCCGCCTCTGCCCCACGCTGGCCTGTGAGCTGCATCCTGCAGCAAGGCTGGCAGTGAGGTCTGTGTTGAGGCCGAGTGCCTGGGGGTCTTGTCAAGGGCCAGTCCTGTCTGGAACAGCCCCACCCAGAGCTTGGTCCCCCCCAGCCCAGGCAAGGGGGCCTGTCCCTTGGCACCCACTTACTGTGGCCCCAGTGCCCCTGGCCTAAGGGCAAGCCCTGCAGACAGCCCCCAGGGGAGTTGGGGGCCATAGTAGCCTGGGGTGGAGTCAGGGAAGGCAAGGTGGGTCTCAGCAGGGAGCCTGGGCAGCAGGGAGGTCTCTTGTGGCCTCAGTCTCCACCCCGCCCCCGCCCCCCCCCCCCCCCCCCCCACTGCTCTCCACTGGCCACAACCCAGCCGGGAGCCCCTGGATCCCTGCGAGCAGCCCTGCAGCCTGGTGGGGCCCTGGGACCCCTCCCCTCCCCCTCCAGTTCCTCTGCCACCCCAGCCCCTCCTGGGGCACAGAAATCCTCATTCCTACACCGCACACTCACAGCCCAGCCAGGGGCAGCTCAGCATCCTCGGCTGGCCGGGGTGCCACCGGGAGGGGAGGAGTGAGGGGGGCAGGGGCAGGGGCAGGTGGGGCAGGGCCCAGGTGCTGAACAGCTTTTGAAGGACCCGGGCTGACCTGGCACAGACAACCAGGGCAGGGTGCAGGGAGCCCTGGGTGTCCTTGTGACCAGTAGGGGCTCCCCGGGCGCCATGGCACAGAACCTGGGCCCTGCACCCCCAGCACCGGGGCCCCAGCCTCTGCCTCCCCTCTCGATTCGTGCCTGTGCCCCCTCGGCCTGGGACCTTCCCCACACTGTGTGACCTCTGCCGCCCCGACGTGCAGGGGCCCCGAGGGGCTGGTGGCTTGAGGCTGGCGGTCTGTAGACCCCTGACCCTGGCCGAGGCTAAGGTCAGAGGTGGCCGGCCTGCGGGATGCATTTGGACATTTGAGGAACCCCTCCCACGGCCAGTGTCCATGCAGGGCAGGTGGGCAGGGATTCTTGCTGGGTGTCTGCAGGCCTGGGGGGATGGTGACAGCCTCTCTCTTCTCCCTGTGACAGGAGGCGGGGCACACAGCAGCCGAGGCCTCCCGGTCAACACGATCATCGACGTGGACCTGGTCGCTGGCTCAGCCCCTGGGCCAGGCCACAGGGCTCCAGGGGTGCGGACAGGCCCCCGGAGGCCACAGGCCAGCAGGCCCCCCGCGCCAGACCTCCCTGGCCTGAGCCCCATCGCAGGTGGGCCCTCCAAGCCCAAAGCCAGCCCGCACCACGCCACCTTCGTCTGAGGCCACCCGCAGCCCGCCTGCTGGCAGGCCCCATACCCCCAGACCTCCCCTGAAGGCCATGTCTCGGGGTGGCCCCAGCCCATCGTGAGGGCCTTTGGCGGCCACCCCGACCACCGCGCCCTCGGAAGCCACCAGGAAGGCGGAGGGCTGGCTCGGAGGCCTCCTGGGCCCACCCCCTGCCACGGCCTCCAGCCTTCCCCCAATAAAGTGTCTTCAAGGACCCTGTGTTGGCCTCCTGCTGGGTGCCGGGCCCCAGGCCATCTGTCCTCCGTCCTCCGTCCTCCTCATGTCGTCCCAGTCCTCGGAGGTGTTGCCATGGCCTCCAGGACCATGTGGGGGAGGGGTTTGAGGAAGTGGGGCCTGCGGGTCAGGCCTGGTCTCCTCCAATCCACACCATCCCCTGCAGGTCAGCGCAGGCTCCTCCGGGCAGTGGGGACCTGCAAGCTGCCATGCACTTGGCCTGTCAGTGGAGGGATTGTCTGAGCGGAAGGCCTGGGCAGGAGTGGCAGGGCTGTGCCCAGCCCCTGTGGCTGGAGCGGGTTTCATTACAGAATGGCCTGAGCCAAGTCAGGAGGGGACCGGTGGCAGGTCAGCGGCAGGGCCCCATGAGGTGTTGGGTTGAAGCGGACGGAGATGGCGCCATGGTCCCAGGTTGCCTTGCTGGAACCCCAGTGTGCAGCTCAGTGTGAGGGGCCCCCCGCCCTGGCCTGCCATCCGCGGATGGTTGGGGAGGGGTGGGTTTGTCTGAGGCCAGGGAACAGCCAGGCTGCGGGGCTCTGAGTGCTCCCAAGGAGGGGCTCCAGGGGAGGCGTGGGCATGGAGACGGGCGGCACCCACGTGCCCAGCGCCCTCTCCTCCTGGGCGCAGTGAGGCAGGTGCAGTGCCAGCCCCTCTGCACCCCGTGCAGGCGGCCGGCATTCTGGGCAGGAGGGACAACTCCCGTGTGCGGGGCACTGCCCAGCCCAGGCCACAGAGGGGCAGGACCCCAAGCCAGGCCTCTGGCTCTTGGTGGCCCCTGGGTACCTGGCCTTGGCTCTTCTGGGGACCAGAGAGGAAGTCCAGGAGAGGTGGAGGGGAGCTCCTGGATACCCCAGGTCAGGGCAGCCCGAGGGGGCTCTGGTCCTGCTCCCCATGTTGCACTTCCCGGGGGTCCCGCCCCAGGCTCCTCCTAGAGGGACAGCAGAGGCCCCCATCCTGGGTCACTGCCATGCGCAGCCCAGCACACCCAGCCTCCCCTCCGCCCGGCCTGGGGCTGGTTGTGGGCAGCACCCCCTCCGGCTGGGCGGGAACGAGCAGACACGCAGCTGCTCTGGGTACGGGCAGCTCCAACACGCGGTGGCCAGCCCCGCGGCCACGCGGGAACCGGAAGCCGGGCTGGGGGCCCGGGCCCCTGCCTGCATGCCATCCTGGGAGACCCAGGACATGGGACATGCCCTGTGGGCCTGGCGGGTGAGCTGGGCAGTAAGTGCAGGGCCTTCGGCCGGCAGGGGAGGCAGCCGGTTAATCATTTCCAGGCGGCCTTGACCCCACCTGCCCCGGCCGCTCTGCTCCTGACTTCTGCCCTCACTCCAGCGCGGGAGGAGCCATGGGGCGCTGGGCCTGGGTCCCCAGCCCCTGCCCCCCGCCTGGACTGTCGCTGCTGCTGCTGCTGCTGCTGCTGGCGCCTCTCAAAGCCCAGCCCCAGGCTGGAAGGGTGAGCACTGACCCATCACACTGTGACCTGGGGCTCCCTGTGCCCACTCTGGGTCCTGGGGCCGAGGCCAGGGCCCGTGTGGAGCGGGCGAGGGGCCCAAGGTGCTGAAAGCTGGCTGTGGGGGTGCTGGGCTGGTGGGCAGGGCAGAACCTGAGCATCCAACTTACTGGGCCCCACCTCAGGGCATGGGGGCCGCTCCCCGCTCTGGGCCTGTGGGGTCTGAGAGTTTGAGGTGGGAGTAGGGCCTCTGAGGGCCTCACCGCAGCTCTAGGCCCAGGATGGAGCAGGCGCGGCCGGCCCTGAGCCAGCTGTCTCAGCGGGCCTGCTGGGCTCGGCGGGAGGGCTTGTTGGACCCTCAGGGTGCCCCGTGGCGCCCAGTCCCCACTCCAAGGTCTGAGGGCCCAAGTACCTGAGGCCCAGGGCAGGGCCTGAGTGTTGGGGGGCCGGTCCCACATGAATGTTGTCATAGCTCTCGGCTCCTCCTAGAACCACACGGAGTCCCGAGAACCTAATGCCACAGTGACCTCCAGGACCCCCACTATTCCTGTGACCTCAGTGACCCCCACAACCTCTCCTGCGAGCACTCCAGAGGCAGAGGGTCCCCGTGGTGGGGGGCTCACCTCCCCGCCCAGGGTGGCCCCCTCCGGCAGCAGCCCTGGGGGCTCAGGTCGGTCAGGGGGCTTCCTGGAGGAGGTGGGGGCTGCACCCGGACGGTGGGTGGGGAGTCGGGGAGGGTGGGGAGTGGGGGAGGACGGGCGGGAGCCCGTGATGCTGGCCGCCTCCCAGCAGTGCTCACCGAGGATGGGCAGCCCTGCCGGTTCCCCTTCCGCTTTGGCGGCCGCCTGCTCCATTCCTGCACGTCGGAGGGAAGCGCCCACAGAAAGTGGTGGGTCCCGCTGGGCAAGGCCCCCTCTCCTGGTCCCACGCCCCCCCCCCCCTGCTCAGACGGGTGACACAGGTGTGGTGAATGGACGCATGACTGAACGGGCGTGAGTGAATGCGTGCAACGCAGAGATCCGCAACCTCAGGGCTGGAGGGGCAGGTCTCTGGTCTGGGCACCCACGTCACCGCACACGTCACCCCCAGGTGTGCCACGACTCACAACTATGACCGTGACCGGGCCTGGGGCTACTGCGCGCAGGGCTCCACGCCCCGGGAGGGCCCAGGTGGGTGCTGGGGGGGGGGGGGGGGCGGTTCGGGAGGCCTGAGCCCAGGCCAGAAGGAGGCTGGGCCTGTGTGGGCTGAGCTTGGGGCATCCAGCCAACATGCTGAAGGGGGTGGGGGCCCAGGGGACAGGGGCAGGGGAGCCATCAGCCAGGGGACCCCCTCTCTGGAGCCCCAGGGTTGCTTTGTCCATTGCTGGGAGCAAGACTCCCCCTGGTGGCCAGGCCAGGCCCTGCGGCCACACAGGTCAGCCCTGTCCAGGTGAGGGCCAGTGGGGTCTGCAGGTGCTGGCAGCCTGCCTATGATGGTCCCAGGTCACAAGGGAGGAGACTGTGCTGCCTGACTGGGGGTGGTCAGGCTCCCAGGGTGCTGGGAGCAGAGCCAGAGGCCCTGCGTGCTGAGGGGGGCTGTGGGCAGCCTGCATTCCCTCCCACCACCCCCTCCCAGGACCCCAGAAGGGGCATCTTTAAGGTGGCAGGCCCAACAGAGGCAAGCAGCGAGGGTCACAGAGGGGGAGGACAGACTGCCCAGGCTGAGACCCCTACCCCCCTCCTGCACGTCCCCAGCGGCTCTGGATCCCTGTGCCTCCAGCCCCTGCCTCAACGGGGGCTCCTGCACCAACACCCAGGACCCCGGCTCCCACCACTGCACCTGCCCTGTGGGCTTCACCGGCAAGGACTGCGGCACGGGTGAGCGAGGCCTGGGGGCCGCGGGGCCTGGGGGGAGGGGCGCCCGCCGCATGCAGGGGGGCTGCACGGGGCAGTGGTGTGCCGAGAGCAGGGACACATGGTGTGGTTCCCAGAGAAATGCTTCGACGAGACCCGCTACGAGTACCTGGAGGAGGGCGACAGCTGGGCCCGCGTGCACCAGGGCCACGTGGAGCAGTGCCAGTGCGCGGGGGGCCGGGTCCAGTGTGAGGACACACGCCACACAGGTACCCCGGCTGGGCGGGGGGCAGAGCCTTCCCACGGCGTCCCGTGTCAGGGGAAGGGATTCCGCTGGGACCACCCATGCATCCGGCCCCGAGGCCTAGCTTCTGAGCCCTCCGTCAGCTTGCCTGAGCAGCCCGTGCCTGAACGGGGGCACCTGCCACCTGATTGTGGCCACCGGGACCACCGTCTGCGCCTGTGCCCCGGGCCACGCTGGGAGGCTCTGCAACATCGGTGAGTGGCTCGGCCTCAGAGCCGTGGGCCGGCCCCTGGGCTGGGCAGGGCGCGGGCAGCCTCGGGCCCAGTCTCACCGCCGCTGCTGCCCACAGTGCCCGCCCAGCGCTGCTTCGTGGGGAACGGCACCGAGTACCGGGGCGTGGCCAGCACGGCAGCCTCGGGCCTCAGCTGCCTGGCCTGGAACTCTGACCTGCTCTACCAGGAGCTGCATGTGGACTCGGTGGGCGCCGCGGCCCTGCTCGGCCTGGGCCCCCACGCCTACTGCCGGTCAGCACTGGCCCGGCCCGAGGCCACCTCACCCGCGGGCAGGTTCCGTCCTGGGGAGGCCTCCTGTCAGGCGCACAGGAGCTCCTGGCCCTTCTGCCCAGACCAGTGATGGCGAACCTATGACACGCGTGTCAGAGGTGACACGCGAACTCATTTTTTTGGTTGATTTTTCTTTGTTAAATGGCATTTAAATATATAAAATAAATACCAAAAATACAAGTCTTTGTTTTACTATGGTTGCAAATACCAAAAATTTTCTATATGTGACACGGCACCAGAGTTAAGTTAGGGTTTTTCAAAATGCTGACACGCCGAGCTCAAAAGGTTCGCCATCACTGGCCTAGAGGCTCTTCCCCAGGGAGAAGGGCCAGGTGGGGTCAGGCCCCAGGCCCCTGTGTCCATCACAGAGCGAGCAAGGCTGCTCCGGGCGGGTGGAAGGACCCCCTGCAAGGGGTCCCATGCCCCTATCCCCACTTCCCTCGCTGAGGGCAGTGTGACAGCACCCACCGCTCCCCTGCCCCCAGGAACCCCGACAAGGATGAGCGGCCCTGGTGCTACGTGGTGAAGGAACACGCGCTCTCCTGGGAGTACTGCCGCCTGGCGGCCTGCGGTGCGCGCTGGCGGGAGGGGGAACAGGGTGGGCGGTGCCGCCCCATCCCACTCCCACTCCCACTCCCACTCCCACTCCCGGCCTCTTCTCTCCGAGCGGTGGAGAAACAGCTCCCGGGGCAGGGCTGGTCCCAGGAGTCAGCAGGCAGGCCAGTCCCCGGGCCCCTGAACATGCAGGCAGGGGGGCGTCCAGCAGGGCGAACAGCATGGTGGAGTCCAGCAGGCGCCCTGGAGGCAGACGCTGGGGGGCAGCTCCCCTCTGGCCCTGCCCGTGCTCTCTGCCCCTGCTGGCCTTGCCTCTGGGGTCCCTAACACCTGCCAGGTGTGCAGGCCACTCTGGTTCCCCCAAAGCCTGGGGTTGGGGTCTCCTCCTATGGATGAGGAAGCCGAGGACAGAGCGTGAGTCCTGTGCCCGGAGGCAGAGCGGGGCCAGCCCTGGGTCCTCGTCCAGAGGGGCTGCCAGGATGGGGAGGGCGGCGGGGGAACGCCCGGGGGCCTGAGGAAGGTGGCAGGTGGGTGCACCTGGGGCTCATGTGACCAGCGACCGGTGCCCCCAGAATCCCTCACCAGAATCCAGCTCCCACCCGACCTGGCCCTGCTGACGGTGCCTGAGGCTGCCCCCGCTGCGCGCCAGACCTGCGGCCGGCGGCACAAGAAGAGGAACTTCCTCCGGCCTCGCATCATCGGGGGCTCATCCTCACTGCCCGGCTCCCACCCCTGGCTGGCCGCCATCTACATCGGGGACAGCTTCTGCGCGGGGAGCCTCATCCACACCTGCTGGGTGGTGTCTGCCGCCCACTGCTTCTCCAACAGGTGGGCGCTGGCCCCTGGGTCCTGACGCCCCGGCCCACCCCCACGTCTCTGCCTCCACCCCCACCCAGCCACCATGGCCCAGCCATCCACATCTGTGGGTTCTCCCCCTCCCCCCCCCGCCCCTGTCCCCCCACCCAGCTGCCTGTCCGCGTCCCCGCGCCACCTCTATCCTTTGGTGCCTCTGCTCCCGTGGCCGCGGCGCCCCTCTGCCTCCGGTGGGACCGGGGCGTCCAGCCAGTGCTGGACCCAGAGGCTGCAGAGACCCGCGGGCCCCGCCCGATGCCATCCCTGCCGGCGCCCAGGCTCCGGCTGTCAGATGCTCCGGGGCGCGGTGGGGGCAGCCCGGGGGGAATAGTCAGGCATGCGCAGTAGGGTGGTGGGCGGGGCCTGCCCGTGCAGCTCCGCCAGCCCCGCCCCTGGACTGCCGGTGGCATGCGGGGGGGGGGGGGGGGGGGGGGCCTCTGGGACTCGAGGCCCCGCCCAGTCGGCGGCTCCGGGAGTGCGGACCCGCCTCTCACTCCCCCGGGGACCAGCAAGCTCCGAGCGAAAGCCAGCTCTGCCCCGCGGGCCGGCCCCCAGCCCGGGGCCCCGAGGTCTGGGGGTTCTGGGGGGTGGGCACTGTCCTGACTGACAGCTCAGGAGTCAGGAGCCGGGAGAAGACTGGGGGGTTGGCAGTACACCCCTTTGGTCACCCCAGGGACTGCAGCGTGTGTGTGGGTGGGGGCGGGGGGGCTCCGTGGGCACAATTCCTGTGCTGACCTGTTACCTCCGCAGGCGCGCTTGGCTGGGCCTGGGAAACGGGACCCTGAGTATGGGATTGAGGGGTCAAGGGGCTGGGGGAGGGAGGAGCCGGGAGGGGCCAAGCTTGGTGGGGGGACAGGGGACCCCAGCACGCTGGCCGCAAGACTGGAATGGGACAGATGTGGTCAGGAGAGAAGGCAGGAGGTTGAGGGCGCGGCTCAGACTCTTGGACCCCGCCCCTTAGAGGACCCAAAGGCAGAGCTGGCTCCCCTCCCCAGGGCCTGTGTGTCCCCAGCCCTGAGCTCACTGGCCGCCCACCCTGAGCGAGACCCAGGAGCCCTGAGCTCTGGGCCTGCCCAGGGGCGGAGGCACCGAGCCCCACGGTGTGCTGGGCATCGGCTGCCCAGGTGTGGGGGCCCTTTCCCAGGTGGCCTGAGGCCTGGGAGGGCTGAGCAGAGTGAGAGGGACCCCCATACACAGCAGATGGGAAAGCGGGGGCGCTGACAGGCCCGGGGCTGACCGAGGGGCTGCCTCTGGGACGCTTGGCCCCCATGGGTGCAGGGACAGCCAACCTCAGGGCCCAAGGGGAGGCCAGAGCCCTGCTGCCCCCCCCCCCAACAGTCCCCCAAGGGAGAGCGTCTCCGTGGTCCTGGGCCAGCACTTCTTCAACCTGACGACGGACGTGACACAGGCATTTCGCATTGAGAAGTACATCCCGTACCCCCTGTACTCGGTGTTCAACCCCAGTGACCATGACCTTGGTGAGGCTCAGGGCAGGCGGGGTGCAGCCAGGAGAGGGGCAGGGTGGGCACCTGGGGAACCCTGGGAGAGTCCTCAGGTCCGCGAATGTGAGGAGGGGTGGACGGAGGGACAGAGGCGTGGGGAGGGGCCTGGCCTGGCCTTCCTGCCTCCTCTGGGTCTTCCCGTCACAGCCTCCCGCCCAGCAGGGCGCACCTGGTGTGACTCAGTGGCCACGCTGTACCCGTCATGGACCCCCCCGCCCCGGCTGACCTCTGGTCTCTCTCCCGCCCAGTCCTGATCCGGCTGAGGAAGAAGGGGGACCGCTGTGCCGTCCGCTCCCAGTTCGTCCAGCCCATCTGCCTGCCTGAGCCCAGCAGCCCCTTCCCCGCGGGACACAAGTGTCAGATCGCGGGCTGGGGCCACCAGGACGAGAGTGCGTGGCGGTGGGGGCAGCTGGCAGCGTGGTGCCCAGGGAGCAGTGCCCACCTGACACACGTGTCCCTGCCCGCAGACGTGAGCGGCTACTCCAGCTCCCTGCGGGAGGCGCTGGTGCCCCTGGTGGCCGACCACAAGTGCAGCAGCCCCGAGGTGTACGGGGCCGACATCAGCCCCAACATGCTGTGCGCTGGCTACTTCGACTGCAAGTCTGACGCCTGCCAGGTGAGCCAGCCTCAGACCTGCGCGCCCTGGGGAAGGGGACCGGCCCGCAGGGCCAGCGGGGGCCAAGGCAGACGGCACACATGCCCCATCCCTGTTCCCGCCGCTGCTGGAGGGCCCCACAGTGGGGCAGAGACACCCCTCACACAGATGGGGAGCCTGAGGCCCAGGGAAGGGCAGGTCACAGCCCAGCTGTCCAACCGAGGGCAGGGCTGGCCACGTGACCCCAAAGGCCAGGCTCTTCCCCCAGAGCTCTCACTGTGGGCTCTCCCATCGGCCAGTCCCAGCAGCGCACACTCATCCAGGCAGGACGTGTGTGTGCAAGCCTGAGGCGTTATAGATGGGGAAACTGAGGCCCAGAGAGGCCCATCACACTTCCCAGGTCACACAACTCAGATGTGGCCAGGGAGTGGGAGGGGGGGGCCGTTTCCGGGGTGCCGAGGAGCTGAGCCAGGTCTCCTGAGCTGGCCCCGGCTCTGACGGGCAGCTCTGCTGCAGGGGGACTCAGGGGGACCCCTGGTCTGTGAGAAGAACGGCGTGGCCTACCTGTACGGCATCATCAGCTGGGGTGATGGTTGCGGGCGGCTCAACAAGCCCGGCGTCTACACCCGAGTGGCCAATTACGTGAACTGGATCAACGACCGGATTCGGCCCCCTAAGCGGCCTGCAGATTCCCCCTGAGACCCCACCCCCGGGACATGCTGCCTCCTTGCCATTCCCTGCCGGCTGGCAATAAAGCTGCTCCCAAGAGCACAGCTTGCCCAGCCTGGCCGCTGCCCCGCCCAGCCTCCCTTCCAAGGCCGACCCAGGCCTGCACACACCTCCCCTGCACGAGCTACCTCTAATCCTACCCCCGCCCCCCAGGTGTTGAGTGTGGGTCCGTTAAAGAGGTGCCAGCTTTGCATTCCTGAGTGAACTGCTGAGTCAGAGTGTGAGCCAGGCATCGTCCATGTGCCCGCCCCAGGCTTGTTCCCAGCCCAGGAGATCAGTGAACTCTGTGCCCAGTGGGTTATGGTGGGGCCTCAGGGAGCCCGGCAGGAGGTCCGAGAAGGAGCCGAGTGAGATGGAGTATTGATGTCCCTGGCTCCCTCCTTTTGGGGTCACCTCGGTGTTACAGGTTGTACCCTAAAACCTGTATGTTGGCGTCAGGACGTCAGAATAGGACTGTTTGGAGAGAAGACCTTCACAGAGCGACCAGGTTAGCATGAGGTCAGGGTGGGCCCTGATCCAACACAATGTGTCCTTATAAGAGAGGAAGAGGGGCCAGGCAGACGGAAGGAAGCCGGTGTGACGTGCCACCTGGGGAGGCGGCCATCTGCAGCCAAGGATGGGCCTGAGCAGCTCCCCCCCTGTGGACACCTCCATCCGGGACCTCTGCCCAGAACCTTGAGATGCTGTGTCCGCTGCTTAAGTCCCCAGTCTGTGGTGCTTTGTTACAGTGGCCGAGTACACCGGTACACCCAGACCCCCACCGACGGTCACTCCCCAAACACGCACATGGCTCTGGACAGTTGTGGTGACTCACCCCCCCTCACCCCCTAGTCTGAAGGAGCCAGGGCAGCAGATCACCCCGGGGCCCCCCACAATGATACCTTGTGAATAAACCCGTCCGACTTGTCCTGTCATGCAGCCTGTGAGGACTCTGGATATTGGTCACGCTATTGTCTTTTATAAGCTCGTTTCAGATTTGCTTAGATTTCTGTTTAGGATTTGACATTTGTGTTTCTGACTGAGACTGTCAGTGTCTGTCCTCAAGGCTATACCAACCTCAGCATGAGCTCAAGAGTACCTCACAGGCCCAGGGACCGGAAGCCAGAGGCCTGGCTCTGAGAGGGCTCACTTCCAGGTGTGCAGACGGCCGCCTGCTTGCTGTGTCCTCAGGTGTCTCTGCTGAGAAGGTCACTAATCCCGCCGTGGGGGCTCCACCCTCGTGACCTGCTCACCTCCCAAGGCCCCTCCTCCTGACACGGGCACACAAAGGGCTAGACTTCACACATGAACTGGGGGACACACATGGGGCCTGCAGCAGGAACCAAGGAGTAGAGGCTGGAGCTGACCCAGCGTCCGGAGTGGGAGCCACGCTGAGGCTCCTGCCTTTCAGCAGCCCTGTGGCCCTGGAGGGGAGGGGACTCTCCCGGCTGAGCCTGAATTTCCCTGGCCGGTCCCGGAGCAGGTGCAGCGCCAGGCGTGGTGGGAGCTGGGCCAGGGCCAACCCTCAAGAATGCAGGCACATCCCTCCCGGCAAGGATGACCAAGTGCCAGGCGCCTGGGGTGGCGGATGTGGCAGTGGCCACAGCCCCCAGCCACCACCCGCCCGTGCCAGCTGTCCAGGGCCAGCCCCTGGGGCCTGAGACGTGTGGGCGCATGAATGGCCTCTGTGGCGGGGCAGCTGCTGTGGGAAAGGCTGCCGGAGTCATGCAGGTGATGGGGGAAGGGGCGCCGGGCACCCCAGCTGCTCCCAGCCCTGCTCTGCCGTGGCCCTGACAAGACATCCCAGGGCATCAGCTTCAAGCTGGTGGCCACCAGGGACCTGCCCTCTCAGACCCCCAGGGGCGGTGGGGAGGGGGCCCCAAGTGGGGGGGATGGCGCTCTGCACCCAGCCACGCTCCCACCCGGTCCAGGCTCAGCAATGGGGGCCAGACGGAGCGAGACTGACCTTTGCGCTGAGTGTCACTTCCTGTTCCGTGGGCGGCAGGGCCCAGCCTGAAGGACCTGGACAGTGTAGAGACCCCGTGCCCCACTGGCAGCCTTCCTGAGGCGGATGCCGGGGTGTAGCCCTGCCAGGTGCCTGGACCACCTGGGTTCCTGGAGAACCGGAACCTGAGCTAGAGCTACAGGTGGAGGCGGGAATCCCAGCGCCGAGTCCCCCCCACCCCCCACCCCCCAGAAGGGCCTCCCCGCGGCCGGTACAGAGCAGCACAGCTCTGGGGGCCACCTTCGGGGCACAGTGCCCCCTGGGCTGCAGGAGACCAGACACGCAGCCCTGGTCCCGCTACACCCGGCAGCAGCTGAACTGGGGTTCGCGCCCCAGGCCATGCGCTAGGACCCCCTCCATCACCCCGCTGGGGAGTGGGCGACCTCCGAGGGAGAGGAGAGGGGACTGAAGGGCTGGGGCTGGGTCGCCCCAAAGTCAGCCTGTAGTCAGGGCGCCTGGCGGGGGGCGGGGGCGGCCCTGGGTGCTGGGGGGCAGGTGCCAGCGGGGAGGCCAGGCTGGTGGAGATGAACTTGGAAACTGGGGGACGGAGGCAGAGGAGCCCCTTTGTGTGGGGTTTGCTCTGCTTGGGGAGGGGAAGCAGCACCCCAGGCACCGCGTGCGCCGGCTCCGAGCCACACGGCCCGGTTCTGCATGGGCTGCGTGGGCTGCACGGGCTGCATGGGCCGTGCGCCCCGCGTGGCTGCGGCGGAGCGGAGGAAGAGCACACCTCTGACGCCCCGCCCACCGGCCCCGCCCCGCCCCGCCCACCGGCCGGCCTCCGCCCCGGCCCCGCCCCGCCCGCCGGCCGGCCTCCGCCCCGGCCCCGCCCCGCCCCGCCCGCCGGCCCCGCCCCGGCCCCGCCCCGCCCCGCCCGCCGGCCCCGCCCCGGCCCCGCCCCGGCCCGCCCGCCGGCCCCGCCCCGGCCCGCCCCGCCCGCCGGCCGGCCTCCGCGAGCTGTTCTGAAAGTGACCCTGGGCCGGGCGGCGGGCGGCGGGCGCGGGCCGGGCGGCGGGAACCATGACAGAAGATGACCGAGGCGGCGCTGGTGGAGGGCCAGGTCAAGCTGCGGGACGGCAAGAAGGTGCGGGCGCGCGGCGGGCGGGGGCGGGCGGGCGCGGGCGGCCGCTCACGCCCCCTGTCCCCGCAGTGGAAGAGTAGGTGGCTGGTGCTGCGCAAGCCGTCGCCGGTGGCAGGTGAGCGGGCCGGGCGGGCCGGGCTGGGCGCGGGGCGCGGGCGCCGGTGGCCTCCTGCGCTGGACGGCGGAGCTCGGCCAGCTCCCCGAAATAGCCGGCGCCGGGGCTGAGGCTGTAACCGGAGAGCGCGGCGGCCTGGCCTCCGCCGCCGGGACCGGACCCACCGCGGCCGGTGCGGGGCTGAGCGCAGTGTCAGCCCCAAGGCCCGGGCGACAACCCCTTTCCGGAGCCGGACTGCGCCCGCGGGGGTGCGAGTGAGAGCCAGCTGCCCTCCGACCCCCAGGGACCCACAGAATGACCACTGAGCCAGGGCCTGGAGCCGAGGGGTGGGGCCTGGCCCTCCCACCTGCCCCGCGGCCCCCCCACCTGCCCCAGGTAGAGCAGGGGCCGGGCTGGGGTGGGAGCAGGGGTGCTTCTGAGAAAGGGGTCACCTGGTGTGGGGGCACAGCCCTCCTGGAGGAGAGAATGGCCCCCGCCCCCCCAGGCGGCACCCCAGCCCAAAGCCGGGCATCTCCCCCTTCAGCAGTGACTGGGCCAGTTGGGAAGCTGGCGCCGGCTGCAGCTGCTGGTGGAGACAGGTGCCCTGAGCCGGGCAGGCTCTGTGTGGGATGCTGGATGCACCGCACAGTGGGGCCTGCCACAGGCTCCAGGAGCCTCGGGCTGTTGCTTCCCAGAGAGGGTGTGGGGTGCCCTCCTGGTCTCCTGCGCCCCCTCCTCCGTCCCTTCTGCAGAGCCTGCTCTGGGCACCTCGCGGGTGCAGTGCAAGGCCCGCTTTTGGCCGGACTCACTCACTCCCTGCCGGCCTCGCCGCCCCTCTGGGGCCTGGCTCCCTGTGAGGGGGACTCGCCGCCTCTCCTGCAGCCCCTGCGCCTGGTGCCCTGTCCCGGGAACTGCAGGGAGGCCGGGGAGAACGTGGGGCTGGGAGACAGGGAGAGCCCCAGCCAGGCTGAGGGCAGGCAGGGCACAGGCCCATGTGCTGGTGAAGGGCTTCAGCCAGCTTGGTGAGCTGGGCCCGTTCAGACCTGGGGGGGTCCCCCTGGAAGAGCAGCCCTGGGGTTGGTCTGTCTGGCAGGGGGTGGGGGGGAGCAGTGATTTCAGCCCGTGGTGGCCTTCTTGCCAGTGTCAGCTGTCTGAGAGTGAGCATGGGTCTGGGGGTGCAGGGGGAGTGTACAGGCCCCCAAAGAGGGCAGAATCATGGAGCTCCAGGGTCCCCAGCGCCGGAGCGGCAGGGAGCAGCCACTGCGGGAGCCCAGGGCGGAGCTGCTGGAGAGGAGCGGGCAGGACACTGGGGCCCTCGGGTCCAGGGTCTCCCCTCTGGGTGACGTCCACCCTGTTGGGCATGAGAACTGCAGGCATCTTACAGACCGAGGCAGAGGCTCCCGCCGAGCCCCCTGTGCGCGGCCCTGCCCCCCCCCCCCATGTGCCGGGTGCTGGGGCCGCGACCCATCCAGCCCCCTCCCTGCCTGTCCTGAAGACCAGCTCCCCCAGGGGCTCTGGGGCGGGGAGCAGGTTCCATCCCTGAGGACTTCACAGCTGAGACCCCCGATCCTGGTGAGGCGACAAGGGGAGCCTGGGAAGGAGGGGGGTCAGTCCTGCCCTCGAGTTTGTCCCGGGAGGGCCCGCGGACACTAAGAGGCGGCAGGGTGCGGCGCGAAGGGCACCTTGTCTTGTCTCCCGGGCGAGGAAAGGCCGCACCTAGGGAAGCGGACGTGGAGAACCTGCCCCACGGGCCCTAACGCTTCGTGGGCGTGTCCCTGGCCTCAGCCTGTCCTGGCGGGGATGCGTGCCTGGTCCCTCTGTGGCCCGGGCCCACGCCTGGTGGCCGGGCAGCGTCTCCCTTCCTCCGGGCTGAGGCTCAGGATGGTGGGAGGGGGTGTCGTGTGTGGCCTGGAGATGAGGCGTCCAGAGGCACTTCCGGAGCAGAGCATTGGGTGGCTCCCGGCCCACCGCGCTCAGGGGTCCCTCGTACCTCGTCCTGTGCGGGTGCCCGGGGGGCTTCGTCCAGCCCGGAGAAGGGCCTGGCAGGGCCTCGGGCATTATTATAGGCATAGCCTGCCCCCAGCCCCCAGCCCCCAGCCCTGCTGCCCCGTGGCAGGCTGCCCTGTCTCCCCGGGTCTGTGCTGAGGCGGGTGCCCGAGCAGCCTCGCCTCGTGGGCAGCTTGCCGGGGTGGGACCTGCTGGGTGAGGGGCTGGGAGCCCCGCTGCTCTCGGCAGCACCTGCGGCTGCACAGCTGCCTGGGACGGAGCCTCCCTGGGCCTCCCGGGGGTTGGCGCTGTGGTGGGTCCCGGCTGGTGGTGAGTGGAGGGTCTCCTGGCCTTGGGAGCTCTGTGCCCACAGGAATGGGCGCGACGTCTGGGTCCCGGCCAGGCAGGCAGCCTGAACAATGTGAGTGCAGCTAGGGCCCCTCAGCTCAGATCTGGCTCTGCTCACATGGGGTGCTCCCTGCCCAGACTGGGGGGGGCGGTGGCACGGGCCGGGCACCCGGAGCCTGTGTGCCCCCAATGCCTGTGTGAGCCCGCACTCCCTCCACGCCCAGGTGCACAGCCTGAACCCGGTCCTTCCTGCACCAGCTGGTGAGCCGGCCTGTGCGGCACCTGCAGGCCAGCCCGGCCAGTCCCCAAGCCCACGCGCCCCACCCCCTGCTGCACCATCAGCAGGTCCCCCGGCTCCAGCAGCTGCTCCCCCGAAGACACCGTCTCAAGGTCACTGTGACCTCTCAGGGCAAGTCCAGCTGCTGCTCCTCTGGCCTCTGTGCCGGCTCCGGCCATGTCGGCGTGTGGACCCCCATCTCCAGCAATTCGGGCTCTGGTCTTCGCGGCAGGCCCCCCACACACACACACACGGAGTTGGGAGGTTCTCTTCCCAGATGCCCCCTCCTGCTGTAAAGACCTTTGCATGCTCATGACTCCACGGTTATTTTTACATTCAGCTGCCGGGGGCACGCCGCCTGCTGCTCTACAGGCCTCTCTGGCTCACGTGTCCGGGACAGCACCCCAGCTCGGCCCCTGCCCCACTGGCCCCAGCATCCCTTCCCTCTTCCTCTCCCTCTTCCCGCCTCCAGGAGGGCCTGTGAGTGAGGCTCTCTGGACCTGTCGCCGTGGTGACCGCAGGCGGCCCAGCCAGTGCCTCTCTCCTGAGCAGCTGCCGGAGCTGGAGGCTCTGTGGTCACCCGCGTCCCCTCTCCACACGCTGCCAGGCCAGGCCCCTTGGCTTAGAGCCCGCAGGCTCCCTGGGCGTTGGAATGAGGCTCTAGGCCTGCCTCTCCAGGCCCCCGACCTAAACGCCTGATCTGGGACCACTCTTCCCCTATCCCTCATGCCAGCCCAGCCCTCTGGGTCCCTGCCTCTGAGCCTTCGCACTGGCTGTTCCCTCCAGCACCATGCTGTTCCTTGTGGGGCTGCTGGGCTGACTCCTTCCATCACTCAGAAGTCAAAGTCTGTTCTCTGACCCTGAGCCCAGGTGCACCGCCCTCGCTGCCGTCAGTGCCTGTCCCTACCCCATCACCCTCCCTCAAGGTTCCTCCTCTTGTCCTGCTCAGTGCCTGACTGCTGGGCTGTCCCCTGGGTCCCCAGGTTGCCCCGAGCAGAAGGAGGGCTGAAGGGAGGTGGGGAGGTGGGGAGGCTGTGGGGCAGAGCGGGGGTGTGAGAGTGGGCCCCCAGGGGACCAGTGAGGGACTTTCAGGGTCCCAACAGGGGCAGGGCCCTTTGCCTTTCCCACCCCGAGCACCAGTCCCCTACTGCCCCCTCCCTGCAGGGCTGGGGCGGGCTAGCCTGGGGCAGGCCACGTGGGCAGGCTGCACCCTTCCCTGTGTTTAGGGACCTGCTAGCCCCGTGCTCGCCTGTGGGGTGGCGATGCCAAGGGTTCCCGTGTGACGGGGGCCCAGTCAGGGCCTCGGCTCCTGGGGCGGGGGGTGCCCATTTCTCAGATGGACAGAGAGGCTCCCAGCACTGAGGGGGCGGGGGGCTGCTGTGAGGAGGGCACGGGAGGCGGGGGGGGGGGGGCTGTCCCCGGCCTGCTCCCCAGCAACTGCCTGCCCTGCGCTTCCCTGCTGGGGTCCAACCCAGCAGGTCCAGGGGTCCCCAAAGGTGTGGACGGAGTCGGCGAAGAGGGAAAGACTTGGAGGCAGCGTTCAGTTGATCAGCATGGTTGGGTTCTCTCGCCTGGTTCTATTGCCAGGTTCTCCAGCCAGGTTCTCCAGGTTCTCCAGCCAGGTTCTCCAGGTTCTCCAGCCAGGTTCTGTAGCCATGTTCCCTCGCTAGGTTCTCCAGCCAGGTTCTGTCCAGGTTCTCCAGCCAGGTTCAGTCACCAGGTTCTAGTCAGGTTCTCTTGCCCTGTTCTATCCAGGTTCTGTAGCCAGGTTCTGTCTCTAGGTTCTGTGGCCAATTTCTGTCCAGGATCTTTTGCGATGTTCTCTCGCTAGGTTCTGTCTCTAGGTTCTGTGTAGGTTCTGTGTCTAAGTTCTGTGTCCTGTTGTCTTGTTACATCTGTATTTATACCAGTTGATTCCAATCCTATCAATCTCTATTCCAAAGGTTAGGGCGTTTCTTATCTCCATTCCAGGGAGTAAAGATTATGTAGCTTAAGCATGATTGTTCGTAGTTAAAGTGATTAATTACCCGCCTGGCACTTAGTTAAGGGGTTTTATTCCCTCCCTAACTTCAGGGGAAAATCCCTACCTGGGGAAACAACCTTTCTCAGAGAGGTGACCTTGGTTAAAACACATAGTGCCAAGAAGGTGAGCAAACATATTAAGAGCAGTATGCCATATATGCCAGGTCCCTTGAGACAGCAAGGATGGACCGGCTCCCGGCACTTCCCCCTGCCCCCCCGCCCCCGGGGAGTCCTCCCCACGGTCTCCTGCTGGCCCTCCTGCGGTCACCGCTCCCTCCCGTCCTGGCGTCTCTGGCTCTGGAGACACGTTGGGGGACATTTCCATGGACACGCGCCGTCGTGCTGCCGTGTGACTGACTCCGGGCCACACTTGGGAGAGAACATGCTGGAACCTCTGATGGGTTCTGATTTCCTTCTTTATTTTCTCAAAATGGGAGATCTTTGCAGTTCCTGGTGGAAGCATCTGAACACAGTGGCCAGGTCTTGAGCAGGAGGCGAGGCCCCAGCTCTGTCCCCGCCGTGAGGCTGTGAGCGTGGGTTTGCAGGGACACAGCCACCTGCTGTCACCCCTCGGGCGGAGGGCGCAGCGGGGATGGAGGCTGCGGTGGGCAGTGGCCTCGCTGTCGCTCAGGCCCCCTTGCTCTGAGGCTGGGACCAAGGTTCGGGGCCGGGCCGGGCAGGAGCCAGCCAGCACCGCGGCTCATTCCCAGCAGCGACAGGGGCAGGGGCCAGAGGCAGGGGCAGGGGCCAAGGGCAGGGGCAGGGACCAGGGACCAGCAGCAGGGGCAGGGGCAGGGGCAGGGGCAGGGACCAGGGACCAGCAGCAGGGGCAGGGGCAGGGGGCAGGGGACAGGGGCCAGGGACCAGTGGCAAGGGCAGGGGCAGTGTTCGCCCACGTGGGGTTGGCGCTGTAGGTCAGGGATCAAAGCGGCAGCGCCCCTGCCCTGCTCCCCGGGCGATGTCTCGCGCTTTCCTGCAGGATTCGGGGCGCCACCCACTTAAACGGGATGCTGCGCCCCAACCAAAGACTGGGGGAGGGAGGGTTGCGCTGGAGGCAGGGTGTTCTGGGGCCACTCAGTGGCTGAGCGTCGATACTCCTGTCCCCACCCCGCTAGCCAGCTGCCGGCTTTCCCGTTGGCAACAGGCGGGGGGACCCCAGCACACGAGGCGGAATGGCTGCGTGGCTGGCTTGGGGTCACCCCGAGAACCCAGGACTCCCTGGGGCGGGTGCTGGCTGGCGCCCTGACGCCCCGCCCGCCCCCCGCAGACTGCCTGCTGATGCTGGCCTACAGGGACCGGGCGGAGCGCGCCAAGGGCCTGCGGGAGCGCAGCAGCCTGACGCTGGAGGACATCTGCGGCCTGGAGCCCGGCCTGGCCTACGAGGGCCTGGCCCACACGCTGGCCATCGTCTGCCTGTCGCAGGCCGTCATGCTGGGCTTCGACAGCCGCGAGGCCATGTGCGCCTGGGACGCCCGCATCCGCTACGCCCTCGGCGAGGGTGAGTGGCCCTGGGCCTGGGCGCAGCCTCCATCCTTGCGGACAGCAGGGCGCCCAGCGGGTGTCTCGGGGGCGGGGCCCTGGGCGGCGACGCGGGCTCAGAGGGGGTGGAGATGACGCACGGCCGGGCAGGCTGCTGTCACCCTCCGTGGGGACTGGTCCCCCAGGGGTGCACCCCTCTCCGAGGTGGGATGAGTGTGCTCAGCACCAGGGAGTCCCTTAACCGAGAAGGGAGGCCCCTGTTGCCAGGCGGCTGTGAGGCAGCCCGGGCGCTGCAGCAACTCCCTGAGCCTCAGTTTCCCCGTCTTTGAAACGGGCTGCTTCCTGAGGGAGAGTCCGTGAGGAGCCGCCCCGGAGCCAAGCCCGGCTGTGGGTGGCAGGAATGGGCAGGGCAGCCACTCCGAGGGCTTGCCTGGCTTGAAGGCCAGGGAGGTGAGGGCAGCCACGGAGCTGGTGCTGCCCTCTCCCTGCCCTCTGCCCACTGCTGCCCTCTCCCTGCCCTCTGCCCGCTGATGCCCTCTTCCTGCCCTCTACCCTATCATGCCCTCTCCCTGCCCTCTGCCCCGCTGATGCCCTCTTCCTGCCCTCTGCCCCGCTGATGCCCTCTTCCTGCCCTCTGCCCTGCTGATGCCCTCTTCCTGCCCTCTCCCTGCCCTCTGCCCTGCTGCTGCCCTCTGCCTGCCCTCTCCCTGCCCTCTGCCCCTGCTTCTGCCCTCTCCCTGCCCTCTGCCCCCACTGCTGCCCTCTCCCTGCCCTCTGCCCCCGCTGCTGCCCTCTCCCTGCCCTCTGCCCCCGCTGCTGCCCTCTCCCTGCCCTCTGCCCCGCTGATGCACTCTCCCTGCCCTCTGCCACCGCTGCTGCCCTCTGCCCCCGCTGATGCCCTCTCCCTGCCTGGCTCAGTGCACAGGTTCCCCGTGACGGTGGCTCCGGGCACCAAGCTGGAGAGCGGCCCTGCCACCCTCCACCTCTGCAACGACATGCTGGTGGTGGCCAGGGCCGTGCCCCCGGCCGTCGCGGGGCAGTGGAAGCTGTCGGACCTGCGGCGCTACGGGGCCGTGCCCCACGGCTTCATCTTGGAAGGCGGGACCAGGTGTGGCTACTGTAAGTCTGCGGCCAGGGTCCTGGTCCCGCCCCCCCGGCCTCCACCCCAGGTCACACCCGCTTTGCCGGCGGCTGGGGACCGGCCAGGGCACTGGGTGCTGATCCGACCCTGGGGACGGGCCCTGCAGCAGAGGGTGAGGAGGGCCCCCGCGAAGCTGCCGGAGGCACCCGGCCTTGGGGTCACAGGATGGCCCTGCGTCTGAGGCCGCCCTGTCGGAGTTCGAGTTCAGATTTAATGAAAAGAAAGAATAGACGGGTGTGGGGGGCACACAGAGAAGCGCCCTCACACACAGGGACCAGGGCTCCTTGGGGTTCCCCCCCTCCCGGGCAGGGAGGGTGGAGGACTGCCCGGCCCCAGAGGAGGCCAGGCCAGCTCCCAGGGCAGGTCTGGAGGGGAGCGGAGGGTGTGAGGCCTGGCCGCTGCGGGGCGGACCTGGGCCTTGGGGACTCTGGGCCGCCTGCCTGGCTGCGCCAAGGTCTGGCTGGCATGGCTGGGGGTGTGGGCATAGCTCCTGCTGTGGCCTTGGGGTGACCGCTGCCGGGGGCCTGGAGCCCCTTCTCTCCTCCACCCAGAGGAGAGGTTGCCAGGTCGCTGGGAGCCCCCGCAGACGTGTGTGAGGTGGCACCTGGGCGGTGCAGGGGGAGAGGCAGGGCCTGGGGAGGTGCCAGGGGTGGTCGCGCTGGGGGGCGGGTTCCCAGCAGCTGTGGGGGGAGGGCCTGTGGGTTCCTGGCCCCTTAACCAGGTGGTGATTTTAGGGGGCGTGGGAGGGGCAGCGGGGTGTGAGGAGGGGTGAGGTGAGGGTCCCAGGGTGGGGGTGCAGCCTGGAGCCCCTCCCCGCGCCAGCCCGTCTAGTGCAGGGGCCTGGGCAGCCTGAGTAGAGGTCCCCCCACCTCCCCCCCCACCCCCCCCCCACCCCCGGCAGCGGAGGAGGGACGTTGGTGAGTCGCAGTCAGAGAACAGGAACCCGTCAGGGGGTCAGGGTCCAGCGAGGAGGTCGAGGCCCCGGCTCTGAGGCCCCATCACTTCTGACCTGTGGCTCCCGCTCTGGGGTTGGGGGGGCCGGCCTGGTGCCACCCCAGCGCGATGCTGGGGCGAGTGTCCAGATGGCGCGGTGCCCGAGGTGGCACGGGGACACCCAGCCGGGGGCGAGGGGAGGGCGCGACGCACTGGCCTGTGCGGACCCCATCCTGCAGGAGGAACCCGGGGCGGGCAGCCCCCACACTTGCCCGTCCGAGTGCGGGGCCTGCCTGGTGGCCCAGGGGCCGGGAGCCTCACCCTCCCTCCAGCTGGAGGCGTTCCCATTCGGCCCAGGGTCCCGGACAGTGCGACCACCTGCAGATCGCTCCGCCCTCGCCTCCTGCTCGCCTCTCCTGCCTGTTTCCCCCTCTGCTCCACGGGTGGGCGCTGTACCCACTGGGTTGGGGGGACTCGGCCTCGGGGGAGCCCTCCCCCCGGGAGCCTGTGGGCAGCGGGGCCGGCGCCTGGAGGGCCAGCGAGAGGTCAGGGAGCGCCCGGCCGGGAGCCTCGGCCAGCAGCCGCCTGGCCCGCAGCGGGGCGCTGGCAGACGCGGAGGAATGCGGCGCCCGGCGCCCCTGTAATGTGGTTTTTTATAGTCGGGGGACTGACTGTGCCCGGCGGCTGCCAGCTGCCCGGAGCTCGGATTAGAGGCCGGGCCCTTGGTGGGAGCAGCGGGCGGGGGAGCCCCGGTGGGGGCCTCAGCTTTCCCCGTTCAGCAGCAGGTCACAGGTGGGGCCTTGCCTCGGACCCAGGGCACTGACCCCGTGCCGGGCCCCTCCGCGCCGTGGCACTGCCAGGGGTGGGGCTGCCCGGGCGCCAGAGACCTTCCCCTCGGGAGCACGTGCCTCTCTCTGGGCAACGGCAGCGCCTGGGCCCGGGCATTCCTGTGCGCTGAGGCCACCGCTGCCCAGCCCGCATGACGGCGTCCCATTCACTCGCAGTGAGGGATTTCATTCACCCGGCGGCGCTGACTCACCCCGCCTGCCCTCTGCCCAGGTCCCCCCCTCTGCCCAGGCGCCCCCTCTGCCCCAGGCTCCCCCTCTGTCCAGGCGCCCCCTCTGCCCCAGGCGCCCCCTCTGCCCTAGGCGCCCCCTCTGCCCAGGCACCCCCTCTGCCCTAGGCGCCCCCTCTGCCCCAGGCGCCCCCTCTGCCCTAGGCGCCCCCTCTGCCCAGGTCCCCCCTCTGCCCAGGTGCCCCCTCTGCCCACCCCTGGGGCTGGGATCCCCACCGGGCCCTTCCTTTGCGGGCAGGGAGCCCACAGGCCCTCAGCCTGCACCTGTACACAGGGCCGGATGTGTGGGGGCCGGCGCTGGCTGGTGGGCAGGGGCCGGTTCTTCTAGGCGCAGGCCAGCACCTCCTCACCACTCAGGACCCGGGGCAAGGGGACAGGTGTGGAGCCCGACGCTAAGTCTCCGCCCTTCCTGGGGGTGGGCCCTGCTCCAGGCAGCCCTGCCCCCCCAGAGGAACTCGGAGATGTGGGGGGGCTGCTGGGCTCCCCGTGCAGCCAGGACACCGGCCAGCTCCTCCTGTGGCCACCAGCCGCTAGAGCCCCTGTGCCCACGGGGAGGCCCCCCCATTCCTGTCACAGGAGGGGTGCGCGCTGGCGTGGCTGGTCCCCAGGGCTCCGGAGCTGTGAGACTCACCCCGGCAGGGGGCGGGGGTACGGGGACGCTCCTGACAGGGGCCTCCAGGCTCTGCTCAGGGCTCCCTCCTGCCAGCACCCCCCCCCCCCCCGGCCCTGGAGCCCCCGCCCCCACCCCCACCCCCGCCCAGGTGCCGCCCACTGTGGGGGCCAGGCTGACGGGCTGTCCCCGCAGGGGCCGGAGTCTTCTTCCTGTCCTCGGCCGAGGGGGAGCGGATCAGCTTCCTGTTCGACTGCATCGTCCGGGGCATCTCCCCGAGCAAGGGCCCCTCTGGGCTGCGGCCGGTTCTCCCAGGTGCGTGGGGCGCGGTCCCAGCGGGAGGGTCCCTCGGCCTCTGCCCTGTCCCCGCTCCGCTGGGCCCTGGGCACAGGCCTCCTCCTCCGGCTGAGCCGGGCGGACACTGGGCCCCGCTTCCGGCTGGGACAGTGGGACAGGAGGGGTCAGCCAGAAGCCCCGACCCGGACGGGCCCCCTGGGGTCGCGGGGACGGAGGGCTGGAGGCGGGCGGGCAGGGGCTGCACCGCGGGCCACACCTGCGTCGCCTTCCCCGCGGTGGCCTGGCTCCCTCCTTCCCGAGCCGGCCCGGGGCTCAGCCGGCTCGCTGGGCCCGCAGCGCCCTCTGCTGGCGCCGTCCTGACGTGCGGCCCCGGGCGCGGCGCGGTGCAGGGGTGTGGACCGCGGGGTCGCCCGTGGCCTGCGGTGGCGTTGGGGCTGCACCAGGGCGCATGGGGCCCTGACCGTGCCGGGCTCACCTTGCGTCCTGGGTGGCGCGTGGGCCGTGGCGGGGGTCGGGGGGGTGAGGAGGCTGGGGCTGCCTCTTGTGGTTCCTCTGCCGCAGACGCCGGCCCCGGGGGCCCCGCCACCGCGGAGGAGCGAGTGGCCCAGGAGGCCCTGGAGGCCCTGCAGCTGGAGAAGCGGCTCAGCCTCCTGTCCCACGGCGGCCGGCCGGGCAGCGGAGGTACCGCCCGCGGGCTGGGGGAGGCGGGGTGGGCCTTCGCGACCTCCGAGCCCTCGCCCCTCCCCCCTCGTGCTCGCCGTCCTTTCCCTCGTTCATCCCCGACTCCCGGGGCCCAGCACCAGGTGCCACGGGGCCGAGGCCCCAACTAACGGGCTCAGGGCGCCGCCGCGCGTGGGGAGGGAGGCGGCCGGGGACGTTCCGGCGGCGAGCGCCCAGCGCCTCTCCCTCCGGCTCAGGGGACGACCGCAGCCTGTCCAGCTCCTCGTCGGAGGCCAGCCACTCGGACGTCAGCGCCAGCAGCCGGCTCGCCGCGTGGCCGGAGCCGTCCTCGTCCTCCGCCAGCGCGTCGCAGGAGGGGCCCGGGCTGCCGGCTTCCGCCCTCGCCCTCGGGGAGGCCGCGCCGGGCGCCTCCAGGCCGCCGCCCAGGCCGCTGCGGCCGCGGCAGCTGCAGGAGGTGGGCCGCCAGAGCTCCTCGGACAGCGGCATCGCCACGGGCAGCCACTCCTCCTACTCGGGCAGCTGCTCGTCCTGCGCGGGGAGCAGCCTGGACGTGTGGCGCGCGGGCGACGAGTTCGGCTCGCAGCTCAGCCTGCCGCCGGCGGCGGGGGCGCCCGAGCCCCGCCTGTGCGCCTGCCCGCCCGGGACCGCGGAGTACCAGGTGCCCGGCGCCCCGCGGCCCCACTACGACACGCCCCGCAGCCTGCGCCAGGTCCCCCGGGATCGGGCCCCGGCGGCGCAGGGCGGCCTGGGCGACAGCGCAGCCGGGGACCCGGGCGGCCCGACGTCCGCGGGGTGTCCCTCTGGCTGGCTGGGCGCGAGACGGCGGGGCCAGGAGACGGAGGCCCCCGGCAGCGAGGCGGCGCCGCCCGGCCCGGCCCCTCGAGAGCCCTGGGAAGCAGGCGGCCTCCGCGCGGGGCCCCCTCCGGCTTTCTTTGCCCCGTGTCCGGTCTGCGGGGGACTCAAGGTAAACCCCCCTCCCTGAACAGGACAGGAGGGCGCGGCTCCGCGGGGTGGCCCTTTGCCGTTTGGTGACCGCGGCAGCGTGCGGCTCAGCGGGGAGGGCAGCCACCCCAGGGCCGGCCTTGGGGCATCGGGGCCGCAAGGGGGTGTCGCCGCCGCTGACGAACCCGCAGGACCGGGTGGTCCCACCGGCGCTGCTGGAAGTGCCTCCTGGATTCCAGCGGAGGCGGCGGTCGGGGGCGGGGGATGGGGGGAGGTGGGGGGGGTGGGGGGGGGGCCCAGGCCTGCCTGGCCCTGCTCAGCCCAGAGGCGCCGCCCACCCTGCCCACTGCCTCCTCGGACTGCCCCGCCCGCTGCCAGGTCTCTGCCCGGTCGGGTCCCCTCCCCCGTCGCGCAGGCACCGCCCGCAGAGGTGAAGTCCCCGGTCAGCTCCATTCACGCGTCCCGTCTGGGAACGTGAGCCTGAGACAGCCTTGCGGCGCGTCTGAGTGTAGGGCGAGCCTTCCCTTGGCCCCGCCCCCTGCTCGGACCCGGACCCACACCCACACCCACACCCACACCCACACCCACACCCACACCCACAGGCGGCCTGTCCTGTGGGAGGAAACTGAGGCTCGGGAGGCGCAGGGACTGTGGGGCTGGCCCTCCTGACTCTGGACCGCCCTTCCGCTCACTGCACACCAGCTGCGTCCTGGACGGGCCGGCAGGGGCGGGGCAGGGCCTGGACGCCTCCTGTGGCCAGCCTGGCGGGGCCCAGCTGTACCAGCTGCAAAGGGCTGGCGGCGGCGCTCAGACGCAGGGGGGCCGCGCTTCGGGCCTGTCCCTCTGCGTCCGTCCTGGGCCCTGGGCGCTGGGCCTGTGGCCCCGCTCCTGCCGGCGCCCTCGAGGCCGACTGCTCGCCTGCATGGAGTGCGCTGTCTGGCCTCGGCTGTGCGTTCGCGCTGCGATTTCAGAGGCACCGCGAGCGGCCTGTGCCCGTGGACTCTGGACTCTGGGCGGCCGCGTCCCTCCTCCGGAATCGCCCGTCGGCCGAGCGCTCGCGGTCCTGTCCGCGTCATACCGTCACTGTCGGCCCAAGGCGGTTGTTGCTCTTTTACGTTTTTAAACCTGACAGTTTGTAATGAATTCTTGGACCGGAAATAAAAGGTTCTTTTCTTACCACCTCGTCCTGTTTCGTGTGCCCAGCGCTCCCCACGCCGCCCGCCGGCTCCGCAGGGATCAGAGCGCCTGTCCAGCCGCTTAAGGCCTCAGTGTGCTGCGTGTGGAAATGAGTGGCGGCTTCAGACAGCCTCTGGGGCTCATGTGTGTGCACGTGTGTATTGTGGTGTGTTACGTGTGCATGTGTGTGCAGCTGTGTATTGTATGTGGCATGCAGCTGTGTGGTGTGTGCGTGCGTGCACATATGTATATGCACCTCTGTGTGTGCACTTGTGGTGTGTGACATGTCCATGTGCATGTTTTGTGCATTTGTGTACATTGTATGTGCATGTGTGTGGTCTGTATGATGCATGTACACATATGATATGTGGTCTCTGAGTGTTCACTGGAGGCCACAGTGAGGTCCGCAGAGGCCCTGGGATGCAGGCAGGTGGCTGCCCGGGTCCAGGGGAGGTGGACACTCGTGTTCTGGGCCAGGGAGGGTGCTGGCTCGGAGCCCGGCTGCCCTCGCTCCGGGCTCTCCCGTGGGTGGTGGAGCTCCAGGGACCCCACCACGGTCTCCACTGCACGTCCTGTCCTGTCCTGTCACCCCCTTCCACCCTCATTTACACCCAGTGGGATGGGGAGTGGTGGGCCCTGCGCACTGCAGGTGGGAAAGGCGGGCGTTGGGACAGAGCCGGGCCCTCCTATTGGCCAGGGGGGCGGGGGCAGAAGTCACTCCACCTGTCTGAGCCTCAGTTTCCTCCTCCACAGCAGGGCCAGCAGGCCTGGCCTCCCTGGGAACACGGAGAGGGGGCAATGAGATCACAGGTGTCGTTAGAGGCCTGTTAGCAGAATTATTACAAACACGGCCAACATCACCTCCACCCAAGAGGGAACCCGCAGGCCTCCGCAAAAACACACGGCTGCGAGCTACAGAGCCAGCGAGCAGGGAGTGATCCGTAGGGCTGGGCTCAGTCCTGGCAAAATCCCACGGGGCCTCTGTCCATGAGTCCCGTGTCCACAGACAGGGCAAGTGTCGATCTGACCACAGCAGACTGAGGCCCCAGAGGTTCAGTGAGTTACCCTCTTTGCTCTAACATTAACCTTAATGATAACTGTAACCATAACCATAACCCAAACCCTAACCCTAGCCCTAACCCTAACCATAACCCAAACCCTAACCATAACCCTAACCCTAACCCTAACCCTAGCCCTAGCCCTAACCCTAACCCTAACCCTAACCCTAAACATAACCCTAACCCTAACCCTAACCCTAACCCTAGCCCTAACCCTAGCCCTAACCCTAACCCTAACCCTAACCCTAACCCTAAACATAACCCTAACCCTAACCCTAGCCCTCACATCCTCACCCAAGGAGGGAGGGACCCTTCATGTGAATGGCCTCTGACCCTGTGGCCTTTGGGGCTCTTGGGGGCCAGGCATTTCATACCTTGGGCTCCCCTTGGGTCCCAGGATGGCCCAGGGCGGTGGGGCCACCAGCACAGCCTTTTGGTCTCTTCCTCCCTCCCTCCCTCCCTGAGTGAGCACTGCCGCTCCGCTCCTGCCCAAGGCGGGTGGGCCAAGCGGGGCTTCCTGCCAGCGACAGGGCTGGGGGCACCCAGAGGACAGACCTCCTCAGGAGTCCTGAGCCCTGTCCCCTGACTCCCCTGCCCTCTGGCCCCCAGGGAGGGACGCATACGGCTCATCCCCAGCACATGCTGTGCCCCCACAGCGCAGGGTTTGATAGCACCTGCAGGACTAGCCCGGAAGCAGGTGCCAGGGGGGAGGGGGGGGGGCTCTGAGGGCAGGGGGCCTGTGTGGGTGCCCGCTCCTGGAGGGCAGTGGGCCGGCCGCCCTGGATGTGGAAGATCAGGCCCCTGGGCAAGGCGTGAGTGCGCCCAGGGCTCCTGTACACAGGCGCTCTGCAGCCTGGCCTGGACCGGGGGTGGGGGGTGGGGTGTGTGTGTGGGGGGGTAGGGGGGGATACGTGCGGGGGGGGGGAGTGGGGGAGTATATGCTGAGCCTGGCAGCACCTCGCCTTCCCAGAGAGCAGGCTGGGCACCTCGCCAGCCCCCAGCCCCGCCTTGACGCCTCACTGCTGGGCTGCCCTTTCCAGGACGCTGACCGGCCCCTGCCCTGCCCCTCCCGGGGCAGCTCCTACAGGGATCGGGTGCCAGGCAGGGCCGCCTTCCCTCCCTCCTTCTGGTCAGAGCCCCTGCTTGGGGCCACCAGCGCCTTCCTTCTCTGCTCTGTCCGCACCTGGAGGAGGCGCCGGGCCGGCCCGGCGCACGCACAGCCTCCCGGGGGCGTGGGTGGCGGCTGCAGCCAGAAAGCCAGTCCAGCTCAGCTGGGGCAGGTGGGCCTGGGCCGATCCTCTCCCCTCGGGGCCTGTGGGTGCTGGGGGGCGCGGGGACAGGCGACTCCAGGGGCACACGGAGAGGGGCCCAGGCTGGTCTCCCCTGTGGGTGGCCTGGCCCCCTGTCCTGCGTCGCTCTTCCGGTCAGCGTCCCGGCTCCACTGGGTGAGGGGTGGGAACAGGCGATGCTGACCCAGCTCTCTCTGGTCTAGGGAGCCGCGGCCTCGCCCCCTGCGCCCCCCACACACCCAGGTAGGCTCGGCCTCAGTCCCGGCTCTGCACGCGGGACGGGAGGGGCGGTCACAGTGGCTGCAGGGACGGCCCAGCCAGGGCACCTGCACCTGAGAGGGCTGGGCGGTCGTCTGTACCTGGCAGCCTGCTACTTGGGGCCCTGCCCTGAACCCCAGGGGGCAGTTTCGTGGACGGTGGAGGGGACTTGGCGTGCCTGAAGCCATCCTGGAGGAGGTGTCACTGTGGATGGACATGGGGGCTCAGGGGAGGGGCCCCTGAAACCTGGAGTAGGCGGTCACTCGGGGTTAGCCCGGGGCCGGGGCAGGGTGGGGTGTCCTGCCTGGGAGGAGCTGGGCGCGGGGACCTGAGGAGGGAGTGGCCGGGAGGGTGGTTGGGGTTAGGGTGGTGGGTGGGTGGCATGCAGGGGCCAGAGACAGAGGGTGTGGTCACTGGGCTGCAATGGGCATTGCAGGGGTGGGGTGGGGCACCCTTCTCAGAAGCCCAGGGGTGAAGGTCAGGGAGGGACGTGGGTGGGGTCAGGACCCCCTAAGCCGGACCAGGCCCTGGAGGAGTGAAGGTGGGAGCTCTGCTGCACACGGGCCGGCTCAGCCCTCAGCCCCCCGGGACTCACAGCCCTGTCCCTGCAGGAGCCCTGGCGACCACCTATGTGAACATCCCCGCCAGCCCCTCCTCCACGAAGCAGCTGCACTACCTGGGCCTGGAGCTCCCGGAGGCGGGCGCGGGCGTCCGAGGTGGGTCCCCCGTGGGCCCCTGGGAGTGAGGGCCTTACCCCGGCACCTGGCTGCCAGCCACCCTGTCCTTCCTCCTGCTGAGCTGCGCTCCCGCCCAGGAGCCCCCCGCACCCCCCCCCTTCCGGCTCAGGCCCTGCTGGGTGGAGGGCAAGGGTAGGACCCCCAGCCCTGCGCCCTGTTCCGCCGAGGCCCCTGCGGGAGGAGCGGCGTCCTGGGGCCCCTGGGCCAGCTCACCGGGGCCGCTTCCAGGGGCCAGCACCTCCGGCTACGCGCAGATCGACCTGGCGGCCACGGCGGCGGCCCAGCGGGCGGGGGCCCAGCACGCACAGGCCCGCGAGGAGCGGCTGGCCCAGCTGGAGCCCAGGAGGAAGGGGGCCCCTCGCTGAGCGGCCTCGCCCCCGTGACTGCACAGCCCGTGGCTGAGCAGTGGCGACCGTGGGCCCGGCAGCCAGCCTCCCGGGGGCCTGTGCCCATCCCCGAGGTCTGAGGTCCGTGGCTCACGGCCTGCTGGCCCCAGGGGGGCATGGCTGGTGCCCGGGACCCAGGGCTGCGCTACCGATGGCCCTGGGATGCGACTGCCCCTCCCTTCCGAGGTGGCGGCCGCCTGAGCGATGACAGTGAAGCCCACGTCCCACCCAGGCGGCGGCCAGGGCCCCGCCGGCCGCACACCCTGCGCAGCGCTGCCCTGCCTGGGAGGGCTGGTCCACCTTCCGACCCGGCAGGCGCCAGCGTGTTTCCTGACCGCTTCCCGGGACCCACCAGTTACTCACGTAAATATTAAAGCCATCGGTCTCCATTTGATAACCCACGGTCTTCCTGAGGCCCAAGGGCTTCCTCTCTCCTGGGCTGTCCGGGGGGCGGCGGCCTTGCCTGGCAGCCCTGCAGTTTGGTCTTCTGTTGATTGGTTGCCTCCCGCACACGCCCCGACCGGTGCCCGGACCCAGCCACACTGGGCACATGCCCTGGCCCAGAACCGAACCTGCGACCCGTGTCTGAGGGCCAGCGCTCCAACCACTGAGCCACCGGCCAGAGCCAGTGTGGGCATCTTGACATGCCAAGGGCTCAGCCCCTGCGGGTGGGGGTGCGGTGTTTCCTCCCAGGGGTGCCCGGGGCTTTGGGGGAGTGGAGCAGCATGTTCCTGGCTGTGCGGGGGTGGGGGTGGTGGCTGCACTGGCCATGGGGTCTGGAGGCTGGAGGTCTGCAGAGGTGGCAGTGGGCTTCCTCCACCCGCGCCCCCACCCAGGCCATCCAGCTGGACCCCACCTGGTCTTGGAGATGAGACGGGAGGTTCCCTCGCTGGGGCTCCAACTGGCCGCTCAGGCCACCTTCCTCGCTCCCTTCCCTCATCCACCCTCCCTCCCTCCTCCTTTCCTTCCACCCATCCATCCTCCCTCTGTCCATCCACCAGCCTGCCCGTCCGTCCATCCATCCTGCATCCATCAGTCCCCCTCCCTCCCACCAGCTCCCTGGCCCACCGAGACAGCGCGTCTGCGGGAGCCGCCACGGGGAGCACAGTGCTGACCCTTCATCTGCTCTCCCTCAGCATCTCGGTCTGCAGGACACGTGCCCCACCTTCTGAGCGACCCCTGAGCTGGGGGTCAAGGGGGAGTCAGGCCCGGCCCTGAGCCCTGGGGAGGGAGGAAGGGCAGGGTGTTCCCTGGAGGAGACCCGCCTGGCCCTGCACCAGCCGAGGCAGCAGGACTCGCCCAGAAGCTGCAGGGGGGGCAGGGCCTGGCTAGCGGGCGGGCTCCAGAGGCCGGGTCCCTGGCGGGAGGGCTCGCGTCCTGGCCACAGCACACCTACAGCTTCCGGAGCACGAGGGTCTCACTAGAGCCCGCAGAGGCAGGGAGACCAGGGGCAGGCCCAACGCCGGCCAACTGTTCTGACAACTTAGAGGAGATTCCTTAACAAACATCTATAATAATCAAAGCATAATATGCTAATTAGACTGACAGCAGAACGATCTTCTGGACGAAGCTGCAGCTGCGAGCCCCTTGCACGAATTCCGTGCATCAGGCCTTTAGTATATCTTAAAAAACAATGGGAAGCCTAAACAGCCCCATGCCTGTTGTTAACAGTTGGGTTCTTAAGACTCGGCGCAAGGAGATCCCAGCTTGGCGGGCGCCCCACGGACCCCAGCCCCCACAGGAGCGACGCCTCGCCTGCAGCACGGCGCCTGCAGCCGGACACTTCACCTTTAGGACAAGTCACGGCAACGCCGAGAGGGAGCTGCAGGCGCCAGCAGGTCCGACCGCTCACAGGAATGGGTGCCAAGTTCCTGCACGCTCAGGCGTCGACAACCCGCGTGACTGTCACCCCAGAGACCAACCTTTGAGGTCTCATCACCGCAGATGCCGCGACGCCCTTGGAGGATGGCCGGCCGCAGGCCAGGGCAGAGGGGCAGCTGTGGGGATTGGGAGGGGGGGTCGTGTGGACAGGAGATGAGCGTGGACGGACCACTGACATGTGGACCGAGGGGACACTATTTAAAAATGAACCGAAAACCTGTTCACCACAGCATGAGTACCTAATACCCAGGAGTAAATCCAGGGGAGATGCGGCCGGCGGGGCCCAGAGGAAAGGCGGGCGGAGGAAAAGGACCCAAGCAGCGCCCGCGGCCGGAGACACAGCGTTGCTAGGACCATTTGCCAGGCCCCAGGTCAAGGCCATCCTATCAGAAGTCTAGCAGCTTTTCTGTTCAAGTTCAGAAGCCGATTCCAAAACGCATGTGGAAAAGCGAGTCCCTTGGTGACCCGTGAAGACTGAGGTGCATACTCCATCCGCACGTCCAGGGCTGATCAGAGCTGCGTACCCGGCGGGCAGACCGCGCAGACAGCCGCCCGTCGCTCAGATTCGGACAAAGGCGCCCGCCCACCCGGCCACAGGGAGTCTCCCTAACAGACGGGGCCGGAACAGAGGGAAAGCCACACTGACCACCTGTCCGTTTATGTGAAATGCAGGGACAGGCAACAGTAACTACGGTGACAGAAGTGGCCGCCCTGGTGAATGGTTGGAGTGTTGGCCTGTGAACCTAAGGGTTGTGGGCCCAAGCCCGGTCAAGGCATATACCCTGGTCGGGGTGCATGCGGGATGCTTCTCCCCCACCTCTAAAAATGTCCTCGGGTGCGGATTAAACAAAAAGGGGGCGCCCTCCAGTGGGCCACTGCCTGCAGCCTGTGCCATGGCGGCCACGTGGGCAACCATGTCAGACTCATCCCAGGACGCAGGACTCGTGTGGACTTTCTCCGGCGTTTGCTCAGACTGACCAGAGGAACACACCGACACTGCAGTTAGCTACGCTGACACCCGACTGAGGCCGCCGTCTGGCACCAGCCTCACCTGCCTCCGGGAAGCCCTGTGCACTGGCGCGCGCGCACGCGCGCACACACACACACACGCACACGAATGTCCACCACAGCCGTGTTCCCCACGTCACTGTCCAGAACAACGCACACATCCACCCACGGCAAGCATGTGGCCAACAGTGGCAGCCGGGATGGAACACTAGACAAGGGGCACCTCTGGAGACAGGGCCCACCCTGCTTAAGGCACGGAGGACGAGACAGACAGACACACACACACACTCTCATGTCCGTGAAGCTCCAACAGGGACACCGTCTGTCCATCTGGGCCCCTGAACAGAAACCCGCCAACTGGAGGCTTAACCCTTTATTTCTGTCCCAGAGGCGGGAAGTCCAAGACCAGGGAGCGGAGGGACTGGTGTCTGGAGAGCTGCCACCTTGCTGGGCAGGAAGAGGTGCTCACCCCATGTGGGGGGCCCCACCCTCAGAACCAATCACCCCCCAGGGCCCACCTACAAATCCCACATCCTGGGGACTGGGCTTAGTATCTGAACTTGGGGGGGTCACAAGCCAAGTGGTTAGCTATAGGAGGTTGGGGGTCCTGGGGTGGGCCCCATGCTCCCTGGGACAGCGCATGTGCCAGAGGCGGTCTGTGCACCCGTGACTGCCCCTCACTCCCACCTCAGCGATCTCCAGGGGCAGGAGCCACCAACCGCATGGTCTGAAGGCCAGGTTGTCAACAACTCAGGTAAACCGAGTCCCACGTCCCCTCTGCTCACCTCCACATCCCAGGCCTCTTACCCCACCGCGATGTGAACCCCATGAGGGCTGGCCAGGCAAAGGGCACGGCTCTGGGCCCCTGGCACTGCGCCTCAGAGGGCAGCCCCAGCCCTGCCGAGGCCTGGCAGTGGCCCGGAGGGACACACCAGCTGCCGGCCAGGGCACACATGGTGTGGAGGCCCAGCAGGGAGGCCGCCCTGCCAGGGACCCAGTGGCTGCGGGGCCCCTCCCGGCACCCCAATCCCATGAACACTAGCACGCTGCCCGGGGTTCCTTCCAACAAGGGTGAGTGCCCGACGGCCGAGCCTCTTCCAGGGGCCAACCTGGGAAGGTGCCCCTTAGACCACCCGGAGGCTCTTCCCCGCGGGGTGCCCGCAGGGGCGAGAATCGTCCCCAGCTGCCCTTCCTTCCTCTGATGCATCAGGGAGGACGGGCGTGGGGTGTGGGGATGGAAGGGCCATCCGGCTGGCAGTGCCTGGAGCCACCGTGGGCTGAGGCCGAGCGGCAAGGACACAGTGAGAAACAGGGACAGTGAGCGACAGTCACGGACGAATTAAATAGTCGTCGCACGGGGCTCCGATCCTGGGCTCCCGCGGCAGGTTTAGGGGCTCCCGCGGCAGGTGTAGGGGTCCTGGGGCAAGTTTGGGGGTCCCCGCGGCAGGTTTGGGGGTCCCGCGGCAGGTTTAGGGGTCCCGGGGCAGGCTTAGGGGTCCCGGGGCAGGCTTAGGGGTTCCGGGGCAGGTTTAGGGGTCCCGCGGCTGTGACGCTGTAGGCGAGGGCCTCTCAGCCAGCAGGCGAATCAGTGCTCGGCGTGGGGCAGCGGCTCTGCAGGGCGTCTGAGGCCACCGCCTGCTGGTCACGGCCACGCTGTCCCCGGTCCCAGGTCCGGCTCACGCAGACGCCACCCTGAGTGCGGGCCACGCCAGGCCGTCCTCAGAGCTCGTTGTGGCGCGCTCGGGAGATGCGGCCCGACAGGTCCTGCAGGTGCTTCTTCACCTACAGGGAGCAGGCAGGTGAGCCGGGCAGGGACAGGCCAGAGTTCTCGACCCAGAGGTGCCAGACAAGCCATCAGGGCAGCCCACAGCCCCGCCCGTCCGTGTGCCGCCCACAGCCCTGGCCAGGTCCCAGCCTCGCAGGCCTGGAGCGGGCGGGGGAGCTGGGCAGCCCTGCCCCAAGCCCGCCCCTTCGGGCAGCGCCGTCCCCCACGGGAGCCAGGCTGCGTGTCTGGGGCCCCACGAGCCCCCTCCCCGCGCAGAGGAAGCAGGCCCGGGCGGGCACCCGCCTTGTAGCCCAGCTCCTTGGTCTTCTCCTCCAGCAGCGCGTAGCGCTCCTTGTTCCGGCTGAGGTGCTCCTGGTCGCCAAACCGCTCCACGTGCCGCAGTTTCTGATGCGAAATTTCCAGCTGCTTCTGGTAGTGGTTGTGCTTCTCAATCTTCACTTCAAAGTGCTTCAGCTCCTCCTGGGACAGCGATGGCGAACCTGACACTCATTTTTTTGGTTGATTTTTCTTTGTTAAATGGCATTTAAATATATAAAATAAATATCAAAAATATAAGTCTTTGTTTTACTATGGTTGCAAATATCAAAAAATTTCTATATGTGACCTGGCACCAGAGTTAAGTTAAGGTTTTTCAAAATGCTGGCACGCTGAGCTCAAAAGGTTCGCCATCACTGCCCTAGAACGTTCCAGCCGCTGACTTCCCCCTCTCCCAGCGGCCACAGCACCCCTCCCCACGTCCCCTCCCCCTCGCCCCGGCTGCACACGGGGAGGCCGCTTCACTGGAGGCGGAGGGGGTCGGAGGGGTCAGAGGGGGCGGAGGGGGGCGGAGGGGGCAGAGGGGGGCGGAGGGGGCAGAGGAGGGCCGAGGGGGAGCGGGCAGGAGCAGAAGCCGCAGCCCCTTCCCAGCCACCAGGGAGACGACAGGACAGGCAGCAGCTCCCTGCTCACCCGAAAGGCCTCCAGCTCCTTCTCAGAGAAGTTGGCCGACTGGGCTAGGTCCCACAGGTCGATCACTCGTGGTTCCTCAAACTCTGTGGAGAGCGGGGTCACCTCAGAGACCCGCACGGCCGTGGTGCCCGGGCTGCGTGTCCGCCCGGCCTCCAGCACAGGGTGTGAGCGTGCAGGTGTGGGCATGTGTATGATGCACAGGTGCCCAGGAGCACGAGTGTGCCCGTGCGTGTGCAGCATCCGTCAGGCATCCTTCCCGCACCTGCTCAGCCCGCAGCTTACAGGACCCGCTGGGTGAGGCCGGCTTCCTGTCAGGCCCCGCAGAGGGTCCTGGTGTGAGCAGTGGACTGGAGAAGGAAGTGCTGGTATAAATGAGCCACTGCGTGTGGAGCTGTTTGTTACTGCAGCGTAACCAGCTGTCCTGGCTGCTACACGGGCCAAGGGGCCATGAATGTGAAGGGGATGGTGTGTAACTTTCAGAGAAAAGGGACAGAGGAGCGCAGGTGCGCGTGCGGAAGGAGTGCCTGCCGTGGGCCGCGCCCCGACCCCCCCAGCTCACCGGCCTCGGCGCCGTAGCCCTGGTGGCTGACTTTCCGCAGCCGGTCGTAGCCCTGGCTGATGCGCCGCAGCCGGTCCTTGAGCTCCGCGTGCCGGCTGTGCAGCACCTCCTCTTGCGCGCGGCGCATGTCCGAGGGGTTGATGGCGTTCTCCTGAATCTCTGGGAGACAAAGTGGGCGCCTGGTGAGGCCCGGGGCCTGGGGACACCAGCCACGAGCCGTCCGCATCACGGGGAGGCCACAGCTCTCGGTCTCTAAGCCCCCGTCCCTTCCTTTGGAACGTGCAGATGTGAGACCGCGTTCCAAGTCGGCCCTTCGCAGGGCTGTCAGCTCAGGAGCCCGAGGCCCCCCCGCAACTGCCAGGGCCCCGGCTTTCTGAGGGGGGAGCCACCGACCCCACAGCGATGCCACCAGAGTCACAGCAGCCAAAACGATGCGTTTGTGCGAGAGGCGGGTGGAGACCAGGTCACCAAGTGCTCCACCTGACCCGACCCCGCACCTGCCAAAGGCACCGACAGGGGCAACCAGCACGGGCCCTCCCGCAGCTCCCCTCCCCCAGGGAGCAGGGCGCCCTGGGGGGCGGGGCCATCACTGGGAGCAGGGGGCGGGGGCTGGACACACCTTCGGTCCTGCTCAGCGTCTCCAGCAGGACGTTGTACTCTTGCACCTTCTCCCGGTGGTGCTGGAACTCCCGCCACAGCTTGTCCAGCTCGTCCCTGGAGAACTTCCCGGAGGTCTTCGCCTGGGGGAGCCTGAGTGAACGGCCGCCCGGGGGCTCTCCGTCCACACCTCGGGCGCCCCCACCCAGGGAGAGCCCCCCACAGACCAACAGCAGGACGCGGGCAGAGGAGCGCCCAGCAGCCCCCATTCCCGACGCGAGGCCGCGCCTGGGTACCTTGTGCCACAGCTTCTCCAGCCGGGGGTCCTCCAGGCTGTCCTGCTCGGGGCCCTCGGTGAGGGAGTTGCTGCTGGGCACCCGGGCGTCCTTCCTCCCGTCCAGCCGGTACTTGGCCAGGATGACTAGGAGGGAAGTGGGCGCCAGTCACGGCCGGCCCTGGGTCCGAGGGGCCGGTCAGTGGCTCGCCCGCCAGCTGCAGCCTGCCTCCCCCTTTGCGGGTTCCTCCACCACCCAGGTGTCCGGCGACCACCGGGACCCAGCAGAACGAGGACAAACCCGACCCCTCCCGCCAGCGCCGGGCGCCTCGTAGCTCCCACTGCAGCAGGTCCCGCGGGACAAAGGGTCGTTACCAGTGTGGTCGCTTTCACAGACCAGCTTCCCAGCCAGCACCTGCAGCCCGTTTCCGGGGGAGAGATGTGCCCAACACAGGGTGCGGCTGGAGGGGATCCCTAACCAGGACCCTCTTGTTTGGAGGGAGAGGTTCTACAGGAGAAACTTCCGTGTCAGCAACTTCCAACAGCAGCACAGAAGCTGGAGGGCAGCCGGGCCACCAGCCGCTACGTCCCTCACCTGGGCTGCACTGGTCTCCTGCTTCTCAGACCCTCAGGACACAGCGCCCCCCCCTCTCAGCAGCCTGGTTTCCAGCACCACGTGGGGCAAGGGGCTGCGACTTCCAGCCTCTGGGGGCTTTGGGACAGGCCCCTGCTGGTCTGCCCTGGGACTCAGGGCCCCTCCCTGCCCTTCAGCCCTTCCCCCACCCCCGTCCATCTTTAGAAACTGGCACGGGCTCCCCTCACCCTTTTGGTCTCTCCACCGACCCAGCCCCTCCTGTGGACACAACCAGTTCCCGTGAGCGCCCTGTGCTGGGCACCGGGCTGTGCCCGCCCGCTCTGGGCTCAGGGAGGCTTGGCCTTCCCTGTCCGTCTACTCAGCCTGTGCCTCAGAACTCCCTCCACCTGGAAGCCAGACCCTGGGGCTCGAGGGCGGGCGAGCGAGCCATGGGAAGTGCATTCTCAGGCTGATGTGAGCTGGGGGGAGGGGTTTCCTGACGTCAGACCCCGTCCAGCCCTCCCCCTAAGCTGCAGAAGGCCCCCCACCGAGCCACCAGAGCCACCCTGGCTGGCGGGTCAGCTCCTCAGGCCGTGTCACCGAGACCTGTATGTCACCACCTGCAACTAATACCTGGGAACTGGAAAAGCTGCCCGGGCTCCCGGCTGCAGGGCCCGCCGTCCCGCCCACAGGCCGAGTGGGGAGCGCAGCCCTGGGTGAGGAGGAAGGACGGTACCGTTGAGGTTGCGTATGAGCTTCGCCTCCTTCTCCCCGTCCTCATCCAAGCCTTCGGCCTTCAGCTTCTTCCAGGCGAACTCGTCCCTCTCCTGGATCTTCAGGTCGGCGTGGAGCTCGGACAGGTCCACGGGGGAGAGCTGCAGCTGCGGCAGGACAGGGGGCGCCTGACACCGCTGCACCCGCCCGACGACACGCCCCGGAGAAAGGGTGACCCAGAGACGCCAGAGTCCGGTCCCAGCCCTCAAACCCCGCACCTGCCCCTGCAGGGCTTCGAAGGGCCCTGGGCCCTGTAGTGTGAGACTCGCCTGAACCTCTACAGCTCGGCATGGCCGCCACCCCAGGTCCCAGGGAGCCACCTGCCACCAGGGGCCTGAGCCTGCGGGCACAGGAGCCCCCCCCTCCCCGGACCTGGGTAAGGGGGCGGGGGGGGGGGGGAGGTGCAGGGCAGGGTGGAGAAACCAGGCCTTGCATCACGAAGCTGCACCTGTCAGAGGACAGGAGACCGAGTTTACGGAAAACCATGAGGAAAAGCGCCCCCACAGCTCTCGGGCCCACCGGCCGCCTGAGTGGCTGACTGAGCGCTGATGGGGACCCCTAGTTGCTGAGATCCTGCTCCCCTGCTGGCCTGTGGGGCACCCCCAAGTTTTGGGCCAGCCACACCTCTGCCAGATGAAGTGACGAGACAGTTCTCCCCGGTTCCATTCAACTGGCACTTTAACCATCAGTCACATGCCGGGCAGACGCCACCCGCGAGGGACTCGCTAATGACCCCCAGTGACAGAGCCGGGGCTGGGGTGTGGGGCTTCCTCAGTGCCCGTGCCACCCAGCGCCTGGCTGCTCGGAGGCGATCGAGGGCTGGACACGGGCGCCCACTTGGGAGGGAAGGCCACCCCATGCCAGAGCCTTTGGAGAAAGTCTGAGGCCAGGGCAGAAGCCGTGGGGCGGGCTCCACAGGAAGGACCTCAGCGCCAGGAGGGCACAGCTGGGCACCTGGGCCCTCGTCGCTGGGAGCGGACTTGAGCTGTGGTCCCGGGCAAAGTGAAGTCAGAGAACAGCCGCCTGCAGGCCCTTTCGAACACGCCACTCACATGGCCTGCGTCGCTCGCTGACCCCTGGACTCTGCCTCTGCTGCTAAGTGCACTGTGAGCTGTAAACAAGCCAGACACTTCCTGCCGGGCCCGTGGCTCCGTGGTTAAGCGTCAACCTCTGAACCAGGAGGTCAGGTTTCAATTCCAGGTCAGGGCACGTGCCGGGGTTGTGGGCTCCGTCCCCAGTAGGAGGCGTGCAGGAGGCAGTCGATCCATGATGCTCTCTCATCATTGATGTTTCTCTCTCTCCCTCTCCCTTCCTGTCTGAAATGAGTAAAAATATATTTAAAAAGCAGCAACAAACAAACCAGACCCTTCTTAGAGAGACCCCACCCTCTGCAGCCGGAACGAGCCACGGCCCCTCTGCTGCGAGCAGTGCAGGGGCTCCCCCACGTGCAGGGCAGGGGGGTGACCAGGAAGAGTGCGGGCAGAGCCTCTGGACCAAGCAGGGCTTCCTCGTCCCCAGCCCCGCAGACACCAGTGGGATGCTTGGGGTTATCAGTGGTTCTCAGCCTTCTGGCCCTTTAAATACAGCTCCTCATGTGGTGACCCCACCATAAAATTATTTTCGTTGCTACTTCATCACTGTCATGTTGCGACTGTGATGAATCGTCATGTAAATATCTGATATGCAGGATGTTCTTCGGTGGCTCCTGTGAAAGGGTCCTTCGACCGCCAAAGGGGTCGCGACCCACCGGTTGAGAACCGCTGGTAGATGGTGATGGTCCCACAGGGAACCCCCGTATCCAACTCGCCCGTCCTCGCCTGATGTGGACGCTAAACGCGCCTTCTGCCTGTCAGTCCGTCTCAGGAGATTAAATGACACTGCTGGGCCCGAGCTGGTCTGGCCCGGACAAACGGTGCGGGATCCATTCGGTGCGGGCTCCTCCGGCCCCGGTTGGGGCGCACGGAGGCACCAATCCCTCACCGTGTCTCGCACTCACCGACTGTCCCCGCAGCCAGGGCCTCTGGCCGCCGATGGTGCGCAGAGCAGAGCTCAGGGAGGCGGGCGGCGTGAGGCCGCGCTGCGCTGGCCCCGGGTGGGGACCGCAGCGCCCCCCCTTTCTCCACGGTGGCTCAGGGAAGGGGCCCCGGGACAGACCAGGCCCGCCCACCTCCTGGTCGGCAGGTGAGCCCCGCCCCCCCCACGGGGACCTTTCCAGAGAGCAGAGGGAGGGGGCGCCCCAGGGAAGGGAGAGGCCACAGGGGCGCGGCGCACGGGACGCGGGGGCGTCACACGATCTCCCCGGCGCCCGGAGGCCAAGCGCTTCGCCAGCTTTCACCACCGAGTGAGGACAGCACCCCGGGCAAGACATGGGGCTCCCCGGCCCGGTCCCCGAGCGCTCGCTCTGCAGCACCAGGGCGCACGGCGGCCCGAGCCCGGAGGGCAACCCCTGGAGTGCGCCGCCCGGAGGCTGCCCTCGGCTCCACCCACACCCCGAGGCCCCCCGCGCCCCCCCCGCCCCGCACGATACCAGAGAGGAACTGGACAGCGTCGAACGCTGGACGGGATGAAGCAACACCCGCAGCGCCGGAGGCCCGCGCCCCGCCAGCCGCGGACCCGGGGAGGCCCGCCGCTCACCCGCCGGGCCTTGTCCCACAGCTGGTTCAGCTTCTCCATGCGGAACTCCGCCGCGGGCTCGCGCTGCGGGGGCCGCTCGGGCTCGTTCTTCTCCCGCGAGTACTTGCCGCCGTGGCCCGCCGCCGGCCAGGGCGCGAGCAGCGGCGGCAGCAGCAGCAGCAGCAGCGGCGGCGCCAAGAGCCCGCGCGGCCCGGGTCGGTCCCTCCGCGACGCCATCTTCCTCCTCTGGCCGCGGAGACCCAGTGCCTCTAACTAGCGGTCCCGCCAGGCCCCGCCCCGGCCCGACGCGCTGCCTCCTGGGAGTTGTAGTCCTTCCCGCGGGGCCAGCCCAGGCGAGGCCGTCGGCGAACTACAAGACCCAGGAATCCCTGCGGCGGCACGTGAGCGTTTCCCAGGCAACCACGCCGCGGCCTCGTGATGCGAGGCGCTCAGATCACTGCCGAATGCTAGGGCTTCCTTAACTGAGATCGCGGGCTGGTAGGGGGACAGGGCGGCGAGGGGCGGGGATTGGTAGAGAGGAGACCCGGCCACCCAGACCCCGGGAACCGGATGACCGCAGGCCCTTTCCTCTCTGCTCCGTAGAAACTGGACCGTGTCTTCCTGTCGCTGGGACTGTGACATCTGATATTGAATCTTGCTTGTCATTATATGCCCCATGTCCTGCAGGGCGCGGCTCCCGCCTTTGATCACTTGGCGTTTCACGGCGAAGCTGCACAAGGCATTCCTGGTGGGTTTTAGCCTCCCATGCACCGCGGTGCCAGGCGGTCCATGTGTGTTGGATTGACTGCATTCCCTGTACGTCTTGAAATCAGCATGTTACCGTCCAGGAACACATGTTGGGATTTGGATAGAAGTTCCTTTGATCCTATAAGTCAAGTTGGAAAGAATTAACACACCCAGGAGAATCTGTAGCTTTGTAGCCAGCGGTGTGGTCTCCATTCACTGGGGCCTCTCTGTGCCTCGGACACGTTTTCTGCCTTTTCTGGAAGTGCCCCTGGCATCACCCCTGGGCTTGGGATGCTGTAAATAATGTCTATTGTGAAAGTTATTTCCCCAACATGGTTGCTGACATATAGACTGAAAGTTGAATCTTGCACATAGATATCGACTCCAACAGCTTTGCTAAACTCCCTGTTCATTAGCATCCTTTCTCTGTAGACGCTCAGACCTGGTGCGCACTCAGCCCTCTGCCAATAGTGTTGTTTCTTTACAACTCCCCCAGCTGCCCGTCACATCAGGCTGAGCTGGCGCGGGAAGGCTGCCAGTGGCATCTGTGTCCTTGGCCTCCGAGGGCGAGCTCTCAGCACGTCCCCATTAACTTGGGTTATGGTCCCAAATTTTAGGGGAGAGGCTCTTATCAGATTAACAGCTAAGACATCTTAAGAACAGAGATTGGGTTTTAGCCTTGGCAGGTTTGCCTCAGTGGGTAGAGCCTTGGCCTGTGGACTGAAGGGTCCTGGGTTTGATTTGGGTCAAGGGCATGTATTTTGGTTGCAGGCTCCTCCCGGGCCCAGGCCCTGGTCCGACCTCCTACAGGAGGAACCAATCGATGTGTTTCTCTCACGTCGATGTTTCTCTCTGTCTTTCCTTCTTTCTAAAAATCAATGGAAAAATATCCTCGGGTGAGGATTAAAAAAAAGAGAGAGAGATTGAAGTTATGGAATGCTCCTTCCCGTCACATGTATTGCATTTTTTAACATGTTAATGCGTGTGACCCCTTTCTAGTCTCTACACTGGAGCGCTGTCCCTCGTCAGCCTGCCCTGCCCACTGGGTGACCCTCAGGTGCAGGGCTGGGGTGTGACAAGCAGGGTCATGAGCGCAGGTTCCCTGCTGCTCTGCATCCGCTGTGCAACCTGGGCCCTGAATGAGCCCCTCAGCCTCCGTAAAGGGGGCTGGGGCCCATTCCGCCCCACGCCCGCACGTGGTGAGTCCCCTGGGGCCCTGGGGTGGGGTGCGTGGGGTGGGCGTGTGGGCCCAGACAGTCTTTACTGTGATGGCGAACCTATGACACGCGTGTCAGAGGTGACACGCGAACTCATTTTTTTGGTTGATTTTTCTTCGTTAAATGGCATTTAAATATATAAAATAAATACCAAAAATATAAGTCTTTGTTTTACTATGGTTGCAAATATCAAAAAAATTTCTATATGTGACACGGCACCAGAGTTAAGTTAGGGTTTTCCAAAATGCTGACACGCCGAGCTCAAAAGGTTCGCCATCACTGCGCTAGAGGGACGTGGTTGGGGCAGGTGGGGCCGCAGTGCGGGCCTCGGTGCTGGGGCGCAGCCGGCACCTGCCTGGTATCCCCTGGAACACTGGGTCCTGCGCGCTCCTCCTGGGCTCCTGGCTGAGGAGGGGGCTGGTGGCTGGTCCGGATGCCGTGCCGAGGGCGGGAGAAGGTGGGCGTGAACCGTGTGTGAAGTCAGGGACCCCCACATTGCCTCTGTAGAGATGGGGTTTCCTTCCAGCTTTTCACTCTGCAATTCTCACACCGACATCAAAGCTGGATTCTCACTGTAGCGGGAGCTGATGAGTGAGGCCGGCGCGGTGCGGTCTCACACAGTGGAAAGTGGCTGCCCTCGCTGTGTGGCTCAGTGGATAGAGCATCGGCCTGCAGACTGAAGGGTCCCAGGTTCGATTCTGGTTGGTCAAGGGCATGTGCCCCAGTTGCAGGCTCACTCCCCAGTAGGGGGCATGCAGGAGGCAGCCGAGCCATGATTCTCTCCCATCGTCTCCATCTCTCTCTCCCTCTCCCTTCCTCTCTCTAAAAGTCAGTGGAAACATACTTTAAAAAAAGAAAGGGGCACTTCCGGCCTTTCCCGGGAGCTGGCAGGGAGCGGCCGGCAGCGCAGGCTGAGTTCTGGGGGCTGCCCTGCACCCCATCTCTGCCTTCTCAGCCAGGCTGCCTCCCGGGTCCACCGAGCACCCCTTCCCCAGATGGGGTGACCTCAGCAAAGGGCGGTGGAGTAGGCGTCTGGCGCCTCTCAGAGCCCAAGGTCGGGAGGAACCTCGACCCAGAGTCCCCTCCACGCCCTCCGCGCCCACGCCCCCCTCGTGTGGCTGTGTGCCTCACCGGGACCACGTTTCTGTGCTGGTGGCATTGCTTTCATTTTTCAAATTTGTGTATTTATTTATCCTCACCCGAGAGTATGTTTTTATTGATTTTTAGAGCGAGAGGAAGGGAGAGAGACGGAAGAGGGAGGAGCAATGATGTGAGATAGAAACACGGATTGTTGTCTCCTGTGTGCACGCGACCAGGGATGGAACCGCACCTTCTGGGGTGTGGGACACGCTCCAACCACCTGAGCCGCCGGCCAGGGCGGACGTGGGTGGGGACCCCTCTCCCTGCCTGCGCATCGCCCCGCAGCCCGCGCCTCCCTGGGACAGAGACAGGGCTGGGCAGGCCCACCTCGGCCGCCCCCTGACCTCCGGGAGGGTCGTGGTGGCCACTGTCCGTGCAGCTCCCCTCCGTCTCCGCGCTCGCAGCCGCACTCGCTGTGTCTGGATTGGGTTTACTCCTCGTCACCTCGCTGGTCCCCGCACAACCCGCGGGAGCCTCTCCGCACCCGGGCTCCGGGCTCCTCCGCGGGCGGGGGCAGGATCCTTGACAGGCAACAATGAACATGGTAACAATAACCATGAAGGAACCTGCGGCCTCTGCCCTGGGCCCAGCGCATTTGGTTGTGCCCCGAGGGGTCTGGAAAAAGGGGAGTTACCAGTTACCCAGACATGTCAAGGGTGTGTTATCACAGACCAAAAAGACAGACAGGCTCAGTTACGGTAAAGGTTGACCTCGTCAGTGAAGATACCGGCCTAGGTGACTACCCACCGTAACTGCTTTTAGTTAAAGTTTAATTTCAGACCATCCCTGTGGTGACTTTGGTCTCTGAGTTTGCAAGACCGCCATGCAGGCCTCCCTGAGCCGGTCTGGTCAGCATGTGGCCTTTTTTCCTTCCGTCCACACTATGTGCCTATCTACTGTATAGCTATCTGTCATCC